GATAAATAATAAATAAATAAATGAACAAGTCCAGAAGGATTTTTTCCCGGAAGGGCTTGGAGCTGCTCATAAAGAGAGGCTGGCACTGTGTGAATAGATACAACCTAACTGAAGAGTCCGGGGTGGAACCAGGCGTGGGGAGAGGTGGGAGAGGAAAGGACGAAATGAGAGGTGACGTTAGTGCTCACCAGACACGTCAGACGCTACGCCATCTGCCAGAGGAGACCGGTAGCCTTGGGTCACAGCTCCTTCTGGCTCGTGTAAAGAGGGAGACCGTCCTCTCTGTGCCTTATGGGATGGGCATAAAATGGAACGAACAACAACAATAAAAAAACCTTGTAATGATACCCGAGGACCAGGATGCCTGTCTTCTGGGACCCGCTGCAGGGCGCTGTGTGACGGATGCTCTGCAGTGCTTTCTGTGTTAAGGAGCCTCGTGATTCCACGGAACTGTTTCAGAGAACGTTCTGGGGTACAGGCGTGGTCGGCCGCTCTGCAGAGAGACACCGCCCAACACTGGCTACCCATCTAGCCAGTCGGGAACCCCAGGCACCTTTCCTGTAGAATGGTGTTCCTTAATCTTTCAAAACTCATGGCCTCTTTTAAGAAACATAAAACCTCTTCCCTCTTCTCCATTCTGACTAACTCTCCCTCGGGCCTGTTATATCCTACCTCCATCCTCATCAGCAAAGACTATTTTCTCTTGCTTTTTCTCAAGTTTATATTATAAAAACAAGAGTTACTTCTTTCTCATATGCAGTTATATTATATTGAATATATATATACCATATATATGGAGAGAGAATATGACTTTTAAACTATAAATCCCTATTCTACCAATCTTAGGAGTTTCTGGAATGGTCCCTACTCTTGGGTAAGAATCATTTCCTGAGTTGGAGGTGCCTGGGTGGCTCAGTCAGTTGGGCGTCCAACTTCAGGTCAGGATCTCAAGGTTTGTGGGCTCAAACCCCGCTCTGACAGCCCCCTGCTCAGAGCCTGGAGCCTGCTTCAGATTCTGTGTCTCCCCCTCTCTCTGCCCCTCCCATACTCATGCTCTGTCTCTCTCTGTCTCAATAATAAAAATGTTAAAAACAAAAAGAATCATTTCCCTAGAACCTTTCCTTTAATTAGCTAGTTTATTTAGATTGATAAGCTGGATTCCAGCTTTAAACCAAGGAGTCTGGTTAAAAGAGTTTTACTGTGGATTTGTGTCAGGCGTGCAAGGAAATCAATGGCATCAGACTTGATCAAAGTGGTCAACCTGACAACTTATTTAAACGAAAAAGAGAAGATACTCTAGAGTATGTTTCATGGAATGGGCCAAAAGTTGAGGTCGATATGCCAGCCTTTTGGTCTGCCAGGCAGCTGGCAGGATGACAGGCATTTTGCTGACCGCGGTGTCAACTCAGTTTTAGTGGCTGCCCGGGGACCCCTGCCTCCCCTGTAATGGGCTTCCGATGTGAAGCAGGCTTTGCTTTTCCAGGACCCAGCTACTAAGGCCGGGTACTTAGAATCTGCCCTGTGCTCTGCTAAGTGCTTTTGAGTTTATGACAGATTTGTATTTTCTCTCATTTAGTCTTCAGAATAAATTCCATTTTACAAAAGAGAAACCAGAAGTTAAGAGACCTACCTGTTGCTGTTCTCATGTCACGATATTAGGGCTCCTCACCCTTTCCTTGTACCTCCGTAGTATCTAATGAGACGTTTCATTGGGAGTAGATCCCACACCTGCAGGCCCCCTGGGAATTCCTTAGAGGCTCCAGGCTGTCCCCCCGTGGGCTTGCCCGGATGCGCACACCGGTCAGACGGAGTGAGCTGCTCAGGCAGGTCTCCAAGCAGCGACACCTCTCTGGACTTTAAGGAGTATTTCTTTCAGTTACTGAATGTCCCCCTGAAATACGTGACCCAAATACTGATGAGTGCTGGGCCGGGGCCGCTCCCTTTCTCGTCAGATGGAGCGATTTTCTTTCTCTGAATATTGCCTTAAACCATTCTGTGTTTTGTCAGTTTCAGCTTCTGAGGTATTTCCTTACTAACGGTTAATGTCCGGATTTTCTAGCTCATCCTTCTGTGCTCCCTCCGGCTCTGAGAAATTGTATCCTCTAGCCTGATTCTCTTTCCCTCCTCTTAGGTTCTGCTGTTTTCCCAACAGTACAGGGCTTTCCCCTCCTGACGCGGTAGAGCAGGAGCTGAGACCGCTGAGGGTGGCCCGCGCAGGCGGGGACCTGCGCTCTAGGGCTTCCCACCAGTGACCCCACAGCGCCCTTTTCTTGAGCAGCTGTGCGTTTGCTGCCTTTCCTTTTCACCGGGCTCGTGTGTGTCTAATGTTTAAGTTTCTGCTTTTCGCTTCCTCTGTTGTCCTCTGCACCTTTCACGTGCGTGAAGTCTGCTCTGGTTTTTCCCCATTTGTTTAGTTTCTGTGCAACTAACACGCTTTGTCCTTGCGTTAACCCATCTATAAAATGGGCATAATACCAGTCTTTACTACGTCAAAGTAGTGTTGGCGATCAAAGGAGCGTGCAAGTAAGCAGTTTTGGAAAGCAACAAAAAAGATGCAGTTGTGAAAAGATGTTGCTTGTAATCGGTCCTAACTTAATGAAAATCTAGCAAAGAGTAATACGTGTGGTCCTGTATTTCAAGCCATCTTTGATTAAAAACCATGGTGCGGTTTAAATGTTTTGTCGGCATTGGATGTGACAGGACTGGCCCTGTATGTTCCACCCCTTCATCATCTGGATTGTCTTATGACTCTTCTCTGCGTCTTCTGTGATTGTCCTTGAATGTGAGAGACACCTGGGAAGGGCCCACTGTGAGCGCTGAGGAGCTTCTCCGTGAGCCCCCATATGATTCACTGTCAAGTCTTCCCAGTGGGATGGGGGCCCTTAGACTTCCCTCGCCGTCACAGTAGACTTGGGAAACAGGCCGCGGGCACTTGAGGTCTTCGTTCTAAACTCAGAGCCTAGCACACCCCCTGGGGCATCGAGCTTGGAAGTGCTATCTGGGGCAGGCCACCCTCTCTGCTGTGCCTAATGCTGCCCATTCCTGGGACAGGGTTTTATGCTGATGGTGGCGCTGCCACCCTACTGCTTTCTCCAGCGTCCTCAGGGTCCCTGGCTTGCTGTGCTAGCCTGACAGATAACATAATCCCACTGGGGCACCTGGGGACAGTCTTGGTGCTGTGTTTGGAGCTGTGAACCCATGCGGTGACAGAGGGGGCTTGACTGGAGTATAAATGAACCGGTCAGAGCAGAACCCATGGTCCCAGGGTCACCTGCAGAAGCGAGGGCAAACCCTAAATTCAGTGCCTGCTCCCTTTCTCCCCTGAGAAATCTAAACCAACTTTTAGATGGTTACACTTTGATGGTGAAATGGGAGTGGGTGTGGTTTAAGGAAATAGCATCTGCCCCTCATGACTTTGGGGGCCTGATAGAGTGATCCAAGCAGACCCAAAGTCTGATTCTGGTGTGACGTCTGGGCGACTGACTCAACCTCTGAGCCTGTTTCCTTGGCACTTTATGAGAGATAAACCTACCAAATAAGGTTCCTTCAAGCATTTAAGCAAAGCACTCCATACCAGCTCGTGTTGTGTTCCCACTGATTTCTATATCCGTGGGCCAGAGAGAGGGAGGGGGTCACAGAGGGAATTGTTATGATGGGAAGGTGATAAGAGCTATATCTGTACACCACAGCTCGACAGTGACAAGAATGCAGAGAGGTGTAAATGCCAGGGTGGGGAGTGTGAAGCAAGGAGATTGCGGGGAAAAAGCCAGGGCCAGAAATGGAGTACCCCTGTCCTGGATGTCAGTTCCTGGGAACTCGGCATGACAGCCAGCCTCTCATATACGCTTCCCTGTCTGGGATGGAGGAAGCACCATTACTGAGCCACGCTGGAGGGGTAGCTTCTGCCACAGCCACGCAGTACAGTGTTGCAGGGAAGAGCCCTGAACCCCGGGGCTGGTCCGCACCCCACACTCTCCCATCATTCACTCCTTTGGTGCTCCGTTTCTCCGGTGAGATGGTAAACTCCCTTGGCAGCAGGGAATTATCCTCTGTCTCCCCTCCTGTGCCCAGCTTGCTCCTGAACATTGGTGTTTAGTGAACCTTTAAGCAAAAATAAATGTATACTGTGGAGCAGTGTCTTATTAAGTGATGCCACTGACCCCAAAAGTTCTTTCCAAGACAGGTGTGGACTTGGGAGGAGGAGAGTGCTGGCTGTGAGGGCCGTCTGCAAGACTGCTGCTTCCTGCCACAACGTGACTGTGCTAAAAAATGTAAAATTATTAAAAACGGGGCAACATGGTTATTACTGTTTTACAGCAGAAGAAAGCGAGGTTCAGTGAAGCCACACGGTTTATATATGAACTCCTGGTCTGGTGCTCTTTCCACTCCCCTGACCCAGAGATCCGCCTCTCGCTGAAGCCATAGGCTGGTCTCCCCCAAATAGAACGTCCATTCCTGGGGTGCAGCGTCCTCACTATCCCCCCATCCCTTGTTCCGCATTGCCCACCCGAGCACCCGCTGTGGTTTCTGCAACACCTTGGGCGTGCTGGCGGGGAGAGGGCCGAGAGCAGGGTGAGCGCGGGTCATATTCCCTAAAAGGGAAGGGCTGGCAGGCATTTTATGGCACGCCTGGTGCCTGGCACTTTGCTGGGCACTGCATCGCTAGTGTCCTCGCCCCCACTTCTACCCTTGTAAGTGAGAGACTGAGGCTAAGTAACCGGTACTCGTGGGCCGAAAGCCAGTGGAAGCGGCGAGGGGACGGTCAGGGGAACCGGCTTCGCCCCTCCGCAGGGGGTCCTCCGCCTGACGATAGTGGGGCCCTGCGGAAGCCGGACCCAGGCCACGTCGGAAGCGTCAGGGCACGGCCCCTGGGGTCTTGCAGGGGCGGGGCGTCCTGCGAGGGGCGGGGCCGGGGCGGTTGCGAGCGCTCCGGGGGCGGGCTCCTCGGGGCAGGCTCCGCCCCCCCGGGAGCGCGGGTTTAAAAGGAGGCAAGGCGGGCGCCGCGGCTCCAGCGGCTGCGAGGCGCGCCGGGGCGGAGGCTCGGCGAGGGCACAGCCATGACCCTGCGGGCGGGGGGCGCTCGGCTGCTCTGCGGCCTCCTGCTCTTCGGTCTGCTGGCTGCGGGCGCCGCGCCGCTCAGCTGGGATTCCCCGGAGCCCCGCAGCCGGGCCAGCAAGATCCGAGTGCACCCACGGGGCAACCTCTGGGCCACCGGTAAGTCTTCGGGACCCGTGCAAGCGCCCCTCACCTTGCTTTGATCCCATTTCCCTTCTCAGGTCGTTCCTCGGTCACGGACACTGGTGTCCGCGCCGGTGAGGACCCTGGAACCCGTCTAATTTAATAGATGGAAAACTTGGGACCCAGATAGTTCAGGGGCTTGGCTGAGATCACTCGCCAGTTAAAGCAGAGCTGGGGCTGGATCCTAGATCTGCCTGCCAGCCGGTGCCCCTGGCCTTGGGCAAGAGTCTACTGAATCCTCTTTCTGACCTCTCCTGTGTCTTCTCTCTGCCCCTGCACCTTCCTGACACCTCTTCATTGTCCACTTTCCTCCTTGCACTCGCCTGGCCCCTGGTAAGCAGGCAGCACAGCTGACAGAGGGCCACCTACCCTCCTTCCAGCTGTGCGGTTCCCTCCTGTTCAGGAAAAGCCGAGGTACAGGCTTTGCTACCACTCAGGGGTGTTTGTGGTGCCTTGATGATGATGATGATGAGGGGGAGGAGGAGGAGGCGGAGGAGGAAGGGTGTTCTCAGATCTTCCTGCGCAAGAACTGAAAGTTGGGAGAGATGGGGAACTTTCCCACTGGTATAGGATCCTCGCTCCCCGACTTCTTTGTGCCTTGGCACCCCCTTTCTAGGTCACTTCATGGGCAAGAAGAGTCTGGAAACCCTCAGCCCATTCCCCTTGGGGACAGCTCCCCACGTGTCCCTGAGAGACCAGAGACAACAGCTGAGTCACGATCTGCCCAGGATCCTCCTGCTAAAGAAAGTTCTGGGCATGAGCCTCACCGGCCCAGCACCTCACCCCCAGGTGAGCCAGGCTCCCATCTTGGGCCCAGGAGAGGCCCAGCCAGGGCTGCCCCTGGCCCCATCCTTGGGCTTCGGGTGTGACTGCCCCTCAAGGTGTGATGGGCCCCGGAAAGCTCTCCCCGTGATCTAGAGCTCAAAGGGAGAAGACTCCAAAGAAAGGAAGCTGACCTTCTCAGTAGTTCCCCTTACCGAGCCCCAGTCTAAAATCACAGCCTAGAATTAGTTAGCCAGCCTCTTGCAGCAGGACCTTCCCCCTCCTCCAGACTCGCCCCACCCCAGCTGTCCACGTTTGCTGCGCCTCGGGTGTACTTACAGTCAGGACCCTGAGGCCCAGAAAGGAGAAGTCAGCCTCCAAGACAGAGTCCAGACCTATTCACCTCGGCCAGTGCTGTTCCCAGTCACTCATCTGCCTCAGTGACCCTCAGTGCAGGGTTTCTCAACCTCAGGACTCTTGACGTCCTCACCTGGATACTTCTTTGTTGCGCTGGCTGTCCTGTGCATTGTGGGAAGTTTAGTAGTATCCCTTGTCTCTATCCACTGGAGCATCCTCTCCCCGTGCCAGTGTGACAACAGGAGAACATGCCTCCAGACTGCCTCTTGTGAGGGGTCATGGGAGGGAGCCCAATTACCCTTGGCTACCAACCACTGACTGATGAGATCCAAGGCCGCAAACCTAGAGCCAGGCCGGCTTTAGTCTCTGGCCTGGTAGAAGGGCAGCTCCTCCATTCCCTTCCATTCCCCGCTCCTGAGGTGGCCCCCACGCCGCACAACCTCCCGGCACTTTGCTACCGTGGGCAGGAGGCAGTGTAATGTGGGTAGAACGTGGGTTCTGGGGACGGCGTGCTAGGCTCCTCACCTAACTAGTAGCCGTGTGACCTTAAAAATGTCACTTAACCCCTCTAAGCCTCATCTTCCTCATTTATAAAATGGGAATAATAGCGCCCATCTCGTATTAAACGAGACCATTTATGTCACGGGCTCAGCACGATGCCTGGCACGTAGAAAGCACTTCATAAACAGGAGCTATTAGCAATTCGCAAGCTCCCTGGCAGCACCTGTTACAGACCCACCTTCCTGTCCCTCACGGTGCCCAGCATGGCGTGCATACGTTTTGAAGGAAGGGAGGAGGGGCCTTCCCTGGAGAAGGTCCAACTCCACCCCTGGCCTTCCTCAGGCACAGAACCACCAGCCCCCGGGGACCTCAAATGTAAGGGCTGCGAGCTTGGGCTGGCTGAGTCTGGAGGGAGATGATGTCACTTCTGGGGCTGCTGGTCTTGAAGGCCTAAAGCATGCAGACCAACTAGCGAGTCTCAGAGGAAGCAGCACCTGGCACTGGGGGATGGGGCTTCAGAAGTGAGGTCTGGGGCAGAGCTGAGGGCAGGGGATGGAAAACATGGACACTGGCCCAGGGCCAGGCACGCACATGGACTTCACTTCCCGATCTCCCTGACTGTCATGACCACTCTGAGGTTGGTTGGGGCTGTCACTCTGAGAAAACCACTGCCCCGACTCCTCCCAGGCTCATCTTCTGGGAGGAAGGTGCTAGGGGGAGGCCGCCTAAGCTAAGAGCCTGCCCCCCCCCCCCCCGCCTGCCTTGTGGACGCCTAGCACTTAGGAATGGCAGGATGCCCCTGTCGTTTCCCCCCACAGCCCAGGTCAATTCTTCTGCGTGTTCCCCTTCAGTACAGGAGGCTGCTGCTGCTGAAGTGACACCACTAATGAGAAAGATACGACAGCGTGGCTTAGACCGTGCCCATCCAGGGCAGGAGCTGAACGGGACGCTGGCAGTGACCCCATCTGGACGTAAAACCTGGGCTCAAATCTCTGTTGCTCCGTCAGTGTGATTTCTGGTTGTGTCACCAGGAACATTGCCAATGCAGACACACATTATGTCCCTGCTGTATTTCTTGCTTCCCTGTTGAAGTCGTGAATAAAACCCAGCCTTTTACGGAGAATGTCTGGTCCTCTCCTTCCAGCCATGTTTGAGGGCATGGGAGGGAAAGGGGGCTGGACAACTGGAGGATGGGGTGTTCAGTAAGATGGAGCTGGCTCCAAAAGCCAAGAACACTTAACGACACCAGCCTACTCAGGACTCCTAAGTCAGTCGCCCATTCAGCAAGCAGGTACTCAGTGCCTGTTCTAGACGCCAGGTCCGGTGCCCGGCGCTGGGTTCTTACCTCTGCCCCCTGCTGGCACAGGCAAGTCTCATGTTTCCTCGCCTGTAAACGGGAGCTGCCTACACTACAAGATGGGGTTTTGCTTCCCGCATTTCATTTCATCCCCACGCCAAGCTTGGAGGGGAGTGCCCAGAGCATGCAAGGGAGAAAGCCTAGCTAGGATCCAGCCCTCGCTGTCTGCTTATTCTCTTCTCTGCCCTTGGGTAGGTTGCCAGGGTTGCCAAATAAAAATAGAGGGCACCCAGTTAAATCCTTATTTCATATAAACAATGAATAATTTTTTTGTATGAGATGTCCTAAAGATTGCATGGACAAACCTATAAGAAAAAAATTGTTTATCTAAAATTCGACTTTAACCGGGCATCCTGTATTTTATCTGACCTGGACTCCCTGCTCTGCAAATATCCTGTCGTAAAACGGGCGGGTATTGGGTCCCTGAGGCCCCTCCCGGTACTGACATCCTGGGAACCCCGGATTTTACGTCATTTTCCCAGGAGCTTCTGCCGGGGAGCATCCCGGACCCAGCCGGTCAAGGGCACTTGCGCGCTGGTGGTGGCGATCGGACACCTCTCGGCTCCGCCCCGTTGGCGTGAGCCACGCCCCGCAGGCCGAGCCGGCCGCGCCCACTTCTCGCGAGAGGGCCGCGCCTGCCCCGGGAAGGTTCTCAGAGGCGGAAGTGGGATAGCGGAAGCAGCGTTGCCATGGATCCCGCGGAGGACTGGCTGGTGGAATCCTTGCGCTTGTAAAGCCTGTGGGCCTGGGACGTGGGACCCGGGCCCGCAGCTGGCGGCGCGGGCGGACGGGAGCGGGGTGGAGGGCAGGAGGGACCCCGGTGTGGGCGGGGCCGCCACTGAGACTCCGCCTGGAAGTCCGCTCCCGCGCCTGGGGAGCCGCACCCGACTCTGCACCGTTGTGTGGGGTACGCTGTGTGCGCAGTGCTTGTGGAGGACACTAATTACACGAGCGACCAATTATTTTGCGCCAGCATGAGCGGAACTCTGGACAGATTATCTGTCTCATTGATTCCTCACGTCAGCCTTGGGAAGTCTGGGTTCTCTGGGAATCCCATTTTATTTTTATTATGATTTTTTTAATGTTTTATGTATTTCTAGGAGAGAGAGAGACAGCGTGAGCAGGGGAGGGTCAGAGAGAGAGGGAGTCACAGACTCTGAAACAGGCTCCAGGCTCTGAGCTGGCAGTCAGCACAGAGCCCGACGCGGGGCTCGAACCCACGAACCGCGAGATCATGACCTAAGTGAAAGTCGGATGCTTAACCGACTAAGCCACCCAGGCGCCCCGGAATCCCATTTTATAGATGAGGTCCGAGGCTCAGGGATATTGTGACTGGCCTGGTCCCGGTCACACGGGGGTTAAAATGTGCAACAGACCTGCTCCCAGATCTGCCTCCCTCCGGAGCCTGGGCCCCCTTACCCACCCGGCCGTCTTGAACAGCTGTAAAGTGCTGTGCCCTGTGTGACTTTGTGTCTTTATCATGCAGGTACCAAGATTTCCATGCATTCGACCTCTCGGGAGCCACACGAGTCCTTGAATGGATTGGTGACAAAGGTGATGTGCCCTTGCCTGGCCCTGAAGGAGATGGAATCTTCCTTCTCAGGCTGGGACTCTGAAGCTCAGCCCAGAGGGTCCCAACCCGAACTTCTGGGAATCTGAGGCCTCTTCTTGGGCTTGGAGCAATGTTCACACTCCGTCAGCACTTATATTCATCTTATTAAAGTCAGTCTCTTCCATTCCGCAGTACAAGGCTGCATGCCAATGGCGGAGGAATTTATCTCTGCTTTGGAGGATTTGGTGGCATGTCTAGACCCCATTCTATGGCCCAGAATCTTCCTAGCAGTTTGTCACAGCTCCTTTTTTTCCCAGGAGTCTGTGTTGCTGGCTATGAAAGCCGGAAGAAAAATGAGATTCTTCATCTGATACTACCTCTCAGACTTTCTGTCAAAGAAAACCAGGTAACTAGAAATACAAATGCTGAGCATAAGTGTCTACTTTTTTCGTTTACTTAAAAAAAATTTTTTTTTTAATGTTTATTTATTATTGAGAGACAGAGACAGAGTGCGATCATGAGAGGGGCAGAGAGAGAGAGGGAGACACAGAATCTGAAGCAGGCTCCAGGCTCTGAGCTGTCAGTACAGAGCCCGATGTGGGGCTCGAACCCACAACTGCGAGATCATGACCTGAGCCGAAGTCGGACACTTAACTGAGCCACCCAGGCGCCCCTTTTCTTTGTTTATTAAACCTTTAGGGAGTTGCTGTTGTCTACTCGGCATTGCCCTGGATACTAGGAAGAGAGAGGGACAAGCCCTGATCCTCCCCTCTGGTCTGATAGAGGGAGGCACATACGCACAGAGATGGTATACAGAATGTCTGAGATTTGCAAGCGCTCCCAGACGAAGAGGGCAGTTTTACTTTATCAAAAATAGATCCAGGGGCACCTGGGTGGCTCAGTCGGTTGAAAGTCTGACTTCAGCTCGGTTCATGATCTCATGGTTGGTGGGTTTGGGCCCCACGTCGGGCTCTGCACTGACAGCATGGAGCCTGCTTCAGATTCTGTCTCCCACTCTCCCTGCCCGTCCCCTGCTCAGGCGCTCAAAAATAAACATTAAAAAAAATTTTTTTTTAAATATATCTAGGGAGCCGTTAGGGTATCGAGGATGGTAGAATGGTTAAGATAACCTAGCATGACTGTGTAGTGTTTAAGGAATGAAAGCAGATGTCCACAGATAAAACTTTAGGGAATGCGTGTAAGGAATGGTTAGAGGAAGATGAATCCACAGCAAACGCTTGGAAGGAATAATATTCTTTGAAGTAGGACAAACGTCAGAAAAGGTCAGTGTTTCAGAAGCCACGAGAAGAGAACACGTGAAGAAGAAACGAGGTAGTGGCTGCCCAGCGTTGCTATAAGATCACTCAGACTCCTCTCCTAGGGCAGCCTGGCCTGTTTCCCTGCAGGAAACTTCCTGCCTAGTGCTCTGGATATCCCTGATCCCCACCACTCAGGCTTGAGCCAGGAGCACGCCCACCCCCTGCTGAGCCTTGATGGGAGACCTTATTTATCTCCTGTGTCCCCCCTGGCTTTTTCCCCTTTCCCTCTGCTTCCAGTTGCTCACCTGGAGATAGTGGAGATAGTGGCTGAGAGCATGAACTTTGGTTAGACAGACCTGAGTGCCAATTCACAACGTAATCCCTGTGTGACCTTAGCAAACTTGTTTCCCTGCCCTGTGCCCTAGTTTTGTCATTTTTCAATGGGGTGATTATAGTACCTACGTGACAGGATGGTTGTAAGAATTCACTGGGCTGATGCAGAAGAAGCACTAAACACAGTGTCTGACACAGCTGGATAATTAGTGGCTGTTACATTTTTATTGTTAGAAGAACCGGGGTGCCTGGGTGGCTCTGTAGGTTAAGTGCCTGACTTTGGCTCGGCATGATCTCACAGTTCGCGGGTGGGTTCAAGCCCCGAGTCTGGCTGTCAGCACAGAGCCTGCTTGGGATTCTCTCTCCCTGTCTCTCTCTGTCCCTCCCCCACTCTTACTCTCTCTCAAGATCAATAAACTTAAAAAAAAAAAAAAAAAAGAACCCACCTAACATCCAGTGGGAGGATGTGGGGGGCACTGGGGATGGGTTCGTTGGCTGACACACTCCAGCTGTCTTTGATATAGCTGTTAAGCTCTGTGACTCGTCTAAGAAGGCCTGGTGAGGGGCGCCTGGGTGGCTTAGTCGGTTAAGTGTCCGACTTTCGCCTAGGTCATGATCTCGCGGTTCGTGGGTTCGAGCCCCGCGTCGGGCTCTGTGCTGACTTCCAGCTCGGAGCCTGGAGCCTTTTTCAGTCTGTGACTCCCTCTCTCTCTGACCCTCCCCTGCTCACGCTGTCTCTCTCTCTCTCTCCTAGAAATAAATAAAACATTTTAAGAAGGCCTGGTGATGTAGCAAAGGGGCCTGTGAAAGGTTAGGAGGAAGGTTTGGGATGCGGGAAAGAGGGGAAGCTGTGTAGGCGGCTGGGACCAGCATTTACAAGCAGCAGCACACTGCGACCCCGCACGGACAGACCTCTGTTGCCAGCTGAGGGGTTTCCACGGCTTCCTGCCAGGCTGGGATCTGGCCTCTCAGCCACACTTCATCTAAAGGTTCCTTGGGGGAGCAGGCTCTCTGACTGGCCGCCCTCTTTGCATTTCAGGGCTTATTCCCAGAAAGAGATTTCAAGGTTTGCCACGGAGGATTTTCGGACACGCCTGTCTTTGACCTGAAGCACGTGCCAGACACCAGGTATGGTCAGCTCTGTGACCCAGCCCCTCCCTTCGGGATGGAGTGGCTAGAAACGTCAGGAGAATCCTGCTTGATCGCCACATCTGCCCCTACCCGCTCAGCACACAGGCGCACACACATCCAGATTCGGAATATAAAAAAAAAAAACATCATTCCGGTAGCTTCGTGTCCCTTGCTGACCTTGGGACGAGTGTACCCCACAGAGCGCGGGAGCTGTTCCAGGGAGGATGGGGCAGAAGGGTGCCCATAGTTTGTCAGAGAGCAGGTGCTTGGTAGTGGGCACTAACAGCCCCAGTCGGCAGGGGTGGCGGCTCTGGGTCAGGGCTGTGTGTTCAGGCACCACGCTGGCGTCCCCTCAGGATATCTCAGGCCGTGTGGAAGCCTGGGCTCGGTCCCATGACTCTCCGTGAGCTCTGGGGCTGCCCCTTATCTGTTAAATGGGGGTGACTGGTCTTGATGACCCCGTCCTGCAGGGGAACGTAAGGAGCCCAAGCTGGGGGGGGGGGGGTGAGTTAGGCGGGGAGCTCCCCACTGTCTGGACTGATACTTCCCATCTGTTTCGAATAGGTTGCTGGTAACCAGTGGTCTTCCAGGCTGTAACCTGCATGTGTGGCAGGTCACAGAGGACAGTGGTGAGTGAATCTGACGTGGTGGGGGCTGGGCTGCAAGAAAGCCTGATACTCGTACACCCCGGCCCCCAATCTAAGCCAATTATGAAGAGTCTCAGAGGCGCCCGGTTGGCTCAGTCGGTTGAGCGTCCGACCTCGGCTCAGGTCGTGATCTCACAGCGCAGGGCCCACTTTGGCTCCTCTGCCCCCTTCTTGCTGCCCCTCCCCTGCTTGCGCTCTGTCAAAAATTAAACATTAAAAAAAAAAGTATTCTCGGAGCCAGGCGGGAATGAAAATGCAGTATCTACTTCGAGGGCACAGATGAAGTAGCCACCAGCGCGTGGCATACAGCTCCCCCGCCGAGCTTGCTGTAGCTCGCGTCGGACTGCGTTCCCCGGCCCGTCGTGGGCAGGACGCCCAGGGAACTGGGCGCCTCTCCCCCAGGCAGCGCCAGGGCAGGGCTAGGGCCGCTCCGGGGAGCTCACCTGCTGGCCGAGGAGGTGGCGGCGGGGGCGAGGAGGCCCCTTCTCTCCAAGGGCATGCTGGTCTCGGGCGTGGGGACTGAGGAGTGAGCAAGAGCCCGGGCTGACCGGTGTCCCTCTTGGCGAGGTCAGTCTGCTCCCTAACCGGGGAGCAGGGGAAGGAGCTGGAGGTGCTGAGCCTGTACCCTCACGCGGGGTAGGGCTCCCTCCGGCCGGCCGTGCGTTTGCGGTTCCCACCCGCAGGCACCAAGAGCTGGCAGCCCTGACCCAGCCCCTTCCATCCTCGCACCTTGGCCAGGGTGGAGGCGTGCCTCGCGGGCACGGAGCCACTGTTGGACATGGCCCTGCGCCTGTGTGATCCTCTGTCCCCCGGTCCCTGTGCCCCTGGCGTGGATGCCTCCCACAGACTGTCTGGCAGCTGCCGGCTTCTCCCTAAGTTTCATTGGTACAGAGCGGCCGCTGTTGTGCTCATTTGCCTTTCGAAGTCGCTGACTCAGAGGGCTTTTCCTCCGTTGTTTCTTCCTTGTCACTTGTCTGTTGCTGTAGCTGCTGGTTTTTGTCATTTCCTCATAGTCGTGATGATTTTTTACAATTTTATTGATATTCACATATTGTAAGTGTACAGTTCGGTGACCTGTAGTACATTCAAGAGTTGTGCCGCCGTTACTATAAATCAGTTTTAGGACATTTTCATAACCCCAGGAACACCTGTTGAGCAGTCCCCGTGCCCACAGTGGCCCCAGGCACCCACTAGTCTGCCTCCGCCTTTTCTGAACATGTCCTCTCAATGGGATCATACACTCTGCGGGCTGTTGTGTGCGGCTTCTTTCCCTCAGCGCAGTGCTGTGAGGTCTTCGTGTCGCCTGGTATGGTACCTGGCACCCCAGACACCGTGTGCGACAGTGGTTGCTTCCTGTGGCTGAATGGTGTTGCGCTGCTAGCCGTCCACTGGTTGGTAGATCTGATACTTGGCTCTTAGGAACACTGCTGCTGAGAACATTCATCTGCAGCCCTTAGTGTGGACATAAGTTTTCATTTCCCTTGGCTAGACAGGAGTGAAATTGCTGGGTCATGTGGTAAATTTATGTCTGATCTTTTTGAGAAACTTTCAGACTTTTCCACAATGGCTTCATCATTTACATTTCCCCCAACAGTATATGGAGGTTTCTATTTTTCCATGTCCTCCTCAACTTTTTTTTTTTGTCTTTTATTGAAGCCATCCTTTTTTTTTTTAATTTTTTTAATTTTTTAATTTATTTATAGGAGAGAGAGAGAGAGAAAGACAGCGTGAGCAGGGGAGGGTCAGAGAGAGAGGGAGTCACAGACTGAAACAGGCTCCAGGCTCCGAGTTGGCAGTCAGCACAGAGCCCGACGTGGGGCTCGAACCCATGAACCGCGAGATCATGACCTAAGCGAAAGTCGGACGCTTACCGACTAAGCCACCCAGGCGCCCCTTATTGAAGCCATCCTAATGAGCGTGAAATTGTTTCTCATGGGGGCTTTCATTTACATATTTTTAATGACTAATAGTATTGAGCATCTTTTCATGTGCTTACTAACCATTCATATACCTTCTTTGGTGAAATGCCTATTCAGATCTTCATGAGAGAGTTTTATTAGTTTTTCCCCACCCCCAGCAGGCTGAGACGGCACGCTGCCCCAGGCCCTTTGATGTTCTGGTTTCACTGTACATTTAATAGATACTTGCTCAGATTAACCGATAATCTGTACAAAGTAACAGTAATACTAATAAGCATATATATTCCAGGCACTGAACCAAGTACTTTCCATGCGTGTTATCATTCAGTTCTCAGAAGTCTGAGACAATGTGTGTCCCAGAGAGGCTAACTTGTTGAAAGTTACAGAGATAGTCACACAACCTGGCCTTGGGTCTAGTCTAACTTCAGGGTCTGCTCAGAACTGTGTCCGGTGGTAACTATAGTTAGATAATAATAACTGAGCTCAGTACAGGGGTAATGGCCCTGAAAAAAAAGTGGTGGGGTACTTACTGAGCAGCGATGTGGTCCTCGCCTCCATTTTGCTCCGAGCTGGTTCCTGGAAGCAGATCTGTCAATGAAAGGGAAACTTCATAGGGCACCAGGTGGCTCAGTTTGTGGAGTTTGTGACTCTTGATCTTGGGGTGATGAGTTTGAGCCCCACGTTGGGTGTAGAGATTACTTAAACAAAAAAGTGGGAGCTCCTGGGTGGCTCAGTTGGTTAAGCATCCAACTGTTGGCTTCAAGTTAGGTCATGATCTCACGGTTTGTGAGTTTGAGCCCGTGCCAGGCTCTGTGCTGGCAGCATGGAGACTGCTGGGATACTCTCTCTCCCTCTCTCTCTGCCCCTATCAGTCTCTCTCACTCTCAGAGTTTTAAAAAGGGAACATTTATGATCGTTATTGTTACTGTTATTTATAGCAGTCGCTAACGTCTCCTCATTCAATCAACAAACCCGCATTGTGCACTTCTGATGTGTCTGGCCAGGGATGCAACACAAAGCACAGCTATAGATGCTTCTTTTTTTCTTGGTGCTTATACTTGATCATATGTTTTGCCCAGTTTTTGATTTACATTTTTGTCTTCCTTGAGTGTCAGAGTCCTCTGTACATTCTGCATACAAGTTATTTGCCCAGTAAGTGTTTTGCTAATATTTTCACCCAGTCTGTTACTTGTCTTTACATGTTCTTAAGAGTGTCTTTCAGGGGCATCTGGGTGGCTCAGTCAGTTAAGCATCTGACTTCAGCTCAGGTCATGATCTCACGGTTCGTGGGTTCGAGCCCCGCGTTGGGCTCTGTGCTGACAGCTGAGCCTGGAGCCTGCTTCAGATTCTCTGTCTCCCTCTCTCTCTGACCCTCCCCTGTTCATGCTGTCTGTCTGTCTCTCTCTCTCTCTTGCTCTCTCTTAGAAATAAATAAAACATTAAAAATTTTTTTTAAATAAAAAAAGTTGCTTAACCATAAATACGAGCATATTTCTGGACTCATGGTTCTGTTCCATTGATCTTTAGGTCTGTCCTTATGCCAGTAACTGGTAGTGATTTCTTTATCTTTGCCTAAAAATAGGCCATGTGGGATGGCACTTGTTTAGATGAGTGGGAGAGGAGTCTCACCAGGCCCATGGGGGCTAATGGCCCAAGCGGCCTTGCTTTGACACTCACATGGGAACAGGAAATCAGAGAAAGACTTATCTTCCCCTAGATATTAGTGCAGAATATTCCGGAGCCTAGGGAAGATTGGCCAGCTGTTTTCCTAGAAGCCTAAAAGCCTAGTGTTATCTAGGTGAATATTCCAGGATCCAGGCTTTGACCCACAGCTTTGTTGTCTTAAAAACTGGATAGTGTTACCACGTCCTAAACTAATCTGTTTATAGAGGCAGATGCGCTCACCAGACTCACAAGACTGCCCCGAGTATCCCTAAACATGGAATATTCCAGGTGTTTATTTTTTGCCTATAGAAGACCTAACAGACTCAAAAAAAACTATGTGATAAATGAAACTGTAACAAGAGGAATCAGCTGAGAAGTTTCCAGATTGTGTTTTTGCAAGCTGTCTTATGCAGAAAGTATAAAACTTGAGAAGGCTCTGCTGGCCAGGCCTCGCTGCCGTCCACGCCCCTGGTGAGCGCCCGAGGCCTCTTCTGTCCCTAGGGCTGGGGAAGCCCTTGAGTTGGGTGAATACATTTCTAAATGTCTCCGCTGAATTTCACCTGCTGATCCGCCTGGAAGTTCAGTATTCAGTCTGGTATGGCCCCTTCTGCCCTGAACAGGCCCCAGGGTGTTCTTTGCTCCTGTGGCTGGACAGCCCCCTGTCAGGGACACCACCATCCTTTAGATGTGTTCATCCATTTGCTCAGTATTGCAGGTGTGGGCACCATTCTGACTCCTTAAGGAGTGTGCCTACCTCTACTCTGACCCACTCTGTGTTGGGTTAATCCTCAGATAACAACCTTCTTTTATTGTCAAGTTCTTGGAGGTGCCTTGCTGTGTCTTTTGCTTTGATTTTCTAGTCCTTTCTCTTTTCTGTTTGGGGCTGGTTTGCTAAATGACGTGTGGATTCCCTGGAGAGCATTTTACCACTGACTGTAGAGAGGAGGAGGAGAAAGCCTGCACTTCTTTCTGAATAATTATAAAGCGGTTCTCCAGTCAGGAGGCTCCGAAGCCTTTGTTTCCCCCCACATCTTTCAACTGGGTCCCTGAGGGCTTTCCCGAGGCCGCCTCCTTTCCCCCATCAGAGGACAGCTCACAGAGGACATTCCCCAGTAGGTCCTGGGGAATCTGTTCTAGGCTCCTCCAAAGGTGCAGAAAGAGCAGAGGGCTCACGTGTGGCCCCAGAGAGTCAGGCAGGCTCTCTAGGGGCTGGTTTGGCGCTTCCCCAGGGACAAACTCTGGGCCAGTCTGGGCTAAGGCCACCCAGAGTCCACGGACTTGAGGAGCGACATGTAAGGGCCCGGCCCGTACATGGCCCGTGCCCTGCTTGGATGGGAACGACCTCAGGGGGACTTGCTGCCAAATGCTCGCTTGACAAGCCATATCAGCCTTCCCTCTCACACATTCCTTCCTCGTTCTGGCTCTCACCGAGCCTGTAGGATTTAAAGAATAGGTGGGTCTCCATTTGCTTCAGAGAACGTAGAGACCAAGTAATGAGCCCGTCTTGGAGCAAGAAAATACAAAATGGAGAATCCGCATCTCCATTAAGATGTAGATGTGCCGCGAACTAACTATACCGAGCCGAGTGAAATGTGGCCGCCGTCCAGCATCAGATGCAGCAGGCCGTGGTGAGGACGAAGCAGGCTGAGCCAAACACAACCGAAATGTCATTCAGCTTGAGGGCAGGCGGGGCTTTCTTCTGTTCAGTGTAACAACATCACGGACCCTCCTGCCACGTTGACCTGTGACCATGCCATCCATGTCGTAACCACCGGTACCTGCCGGGCTTCAGATCGCTTGAGGTCACAGAACATGTGTCTGAAGAAATACTATGAGATCGTGACCTCTGTACCCGTTATTTTCACCTAAGGTGTAAATGACATCATCAGCATGTTTTTTGCTTTCTTCTATCTTTATTTGTTCTTTGCAAAACTATAAAAAGCCCCACCTGCTTTTGGGGTTTTGATATGGCTGCTCTGATTCATCATCTCCCCTTCGCAGAACTGTGTGTAAGACACATTGGAAAGAGATTAAAGCATTTCTGACAGTTTCAGAAACGGGAGCGTAGCACAGAGTGCTTATGTCTCACACCCTCTCTTGCTAGCTGCCAGCTCCCTTTCTTCCTTGACCTTCTGAAGGTGCGAGGGTAGACTGCTGGCCGGCCCCCTCCTCGCGAGGCCTCGAGCATTCCTTCCCATCGTGGATTTCAGCCTCTCTCCTTTCCCCCAGATGTCATTCGGGCTGTCAGCAGCATTGCCGTGCAGGAGGCGGAGGAGGGTCTCTGGCCTAGGGTGGCCATCTTCTCTTCGACGGCCCCGGGGGTACTGCACGGGGCGAGGCTCCGCAGTCTGAAGGTTGTGGATCTGGAATCCCAGAAGACCACGTACTCCTCAGGTACCGCAGCAGCTCGGCCCTCGCCGGCCCCTCCTGCCAGCCCCCCTCAGCCGTGTGAGGAACGGAGTCCAGCCACACGCGCCAGGCACTGGGGAAACCACACGGACACGGGAGCGAGGCGGCCTTGGCCTCGAGGGACTCCCGCGCAGGGACTGGAGGAGGCAGTCCCGGGGACCGGCACCGAGGTGCCTGGGGCTGGAGGGAAGCTTCCAGAGAAAGGGACCTGTGACCAGCCAGATACTCCTGTGACTCCAGCAGCTTTCCTGTGTCGCTGTCTGTCTTCCAGGCATCAGCGACAACGAGGAGCTGAGCAGCCTTCAGGTGCTGGATGCAGACACCTTCGCCTTCTGCTGCGCCTCGGGCCGCCTGGGGCTCGTCGACATCCGCCAGAAGTGGGCGCCGTCAGAGAACGTCAGCCCCGGGCCCGGGTCTGCTGGAGGGAGGTGGTGTGCTGAAGTTGCGTGCAGACGTGGGGGCCCCGGGCCCAGCATCGCCAGCCTTGGCTCAGACGGGCAGCTGTGTCTCCTCGATCCTCGGGATCTCTGCCACCCCGTGAGCGCGGTGCGGTGCTCCGTGTCTGCACCTAGCCCCGACCCAGAGCTGCTGCAGGTGACTTGGGCACCAGGCCTGGACAACTGCCTGGCCGTCTCAGGTACTGCTGAGCACCGCTTTGTGTCTGTTACCTGATCCCTCTCTTCCAGGGCACCGCAGCCCCATAATCCATCCGGGCCCAGAGGTGAAAGTTCCAGATTGACTTTCCAGGTGCTTCTGTGGCAAGCCCTTCCCCGTTCTGGCTGCTAAGCTTTCGCATTGGTAGCAGGCCTTTCTTGCCTGGGCGCGAGCTCGGAGCTGAGGTCAGCCGCGAGGCCTGCAGAGAGTAAGGCAGCAACGCAGCCCGGGGATGCCCCAGGAGGGGGTGGAAGTGCCTCTCAGTCTGCTTGCTTTTTGAATGATAGCAGGCCACTGGGTGCGTAGGCTCCTGGATCTGGCTGGCAGCTTCTGGCTGAATAAGGGTGTTAATGAGCACATCTAAAAGCCAGTGCGAAGGATCTATTGAAGGGGAGAGGTTGAAAGAATTGTTGAGATTAAGAAAAGGTCCATGATGATGGCAGGATCCAGAAAGCGCAGAAGGAAAGAGCAGAGCTTGGTGGAGGAATTGGCTTTTTGGTAGTGAGAAAACAGCGGGCTGGAGTGAGTGTGGGTCCAACTAAGTCATGGGGGACGTGAGGGTGCTCCTACTAAAGCCTTCCATTCCCGCCCTCGGGCAGAAGGCAAGGCCACCCGCTGAGAGGGATCAGATGTGGCAGGATTAGAATTTGAGGCAAGCGGAAAAGGTTCGAAAGAGTCTCTTAAGCCTCAGTTCCTTGGATCCCCAGGGAATAAGAGTACCTATTTCATACAGTTCTGAGGATTAAAAGAATTCATGTCTAGGATTGGCCTCACGCCTGGCACATAATAGATGAACAGAAATACACCATCACGTGCCCTGAGGAGCCGTCAACTGCCAACACAAGGGCAGAGGATACATGCCCTTCGGTTGGCTTTACATATCTTTTTTTTTTTTTTAGAGTAATTTCCACTTGTTGTGGGACTCAAAGTCATGACCTTGAGATCAAAGAGTGAGTTAGATGGTGTACTGACTGAGCCAGCCAAAAGCCCCTGGCCTTAAGCATCTTGTTCTTTGACTTTTCATCCTGTAGCCTGTTTTGGTATGATAGAGCAAACTATAAAAATTATTTTAGGGGTGGGGCGCCTGGGTAGCTCAGCTGGCTCCCAGGTCATGATCTCACGGTTTATGAGTTCGAGCCCCGCATTGGACTCTGCACTGACATCGTGGAGCCTGCTTGCGATTCTCTCTCTCCCTGTCTCTCTCTGCCCCTCCCACACACTCACTCTCTAAAATAAACTTTAAAAATTACTTTAGGGGCACCTGGCTGATTCAGTCGGTAGAGCATGCAACTCTTGATCTCCGAGTCGTGAGTTCAAGCCCCACATTGGGCATAGAGATAACTTTAAAAAGAAGAAAGAAAAATTACTTTAGAGTTTTAGTGTCAATTCTCTCTTTTCTTGTTCTTCCTCAGGTTTTGATGGGACAGTCCAGGTCTATGATGCCACATCTTGGGACAGAACGGGGGGCCAAGTAGAACCGCTCTTCACCCACAGGGGTCACATCTTCCTAGAAGATGGTCAGAGAGACACCGTGCCGCTGCTCACCACCCACACCTGGCACCCCCACAAGCCGAGGACTTTGTTATCGGCAGCAAGTGACGCCTCTCTGCACGTGTGGGACTGGGTGGAGCGCTGTGCGGCCTGCTGACCCCCGCCTCTCCCTGCCCGGGCCTCGAAGAAGGGGAGCCGCTGGAGAGCCAAGGTACTGCCTTAGGACTCAGGTGACCCCAGGCCCCTGTTTACAGCTCAGCGGCCTTGGGCTAATTAACCGGCTCCTCTTAGCCACAGTTTCTTTACGTATAAAATGAGAGTAATAACCGCCTCCCTGGGCTGTGGGGAAAGTTAGAAGTAGTGTATTACAAAATAACTGGTAAGATGCACGGTGCAGTGCGTACTCAGCGGCGACCATCGCCCCATCCTCCCGCAACGCTTCTTCCCTGTCTTGTGTCCACAGTATCAGTGAGAACCAGAACAACAGCTGATGTTGTAAACCGGTTTTGTGAACTTTTTTGCAGAACTCAAAACGTATAAAGGCCAGTAAACATGAGAAAAAGAGTTCACCCCAGGGGCACCTGGCTGGTTCAATTAGTTAAGTATCTGACTTCAGCTCAAGTCATGATCTCACGTCCATGGGTTCGAGCCCCATGTTGGGCTCTGTGCTGACAGCTCGGAGCCTGGAGCTGGTTAAGATTCCGTGTGTCCCTCTCTCTCTGCCCCTCCCCCACTTGTGTGTGTTTGCACTCTCTCTCTCTCTGTCTCAAAAATAAATAACATTAAAAAAAAAAAAGAGTCAACCCCAGTAGCAACGAAGGAAAGAACAACAGGACTATGCCCCCCGCCCTTTTTTTTTTGCCTACCAAGTTGCCAAATTTAGAACATTATTGCTTTGACAGCTGATAAAGGTTACACAATAACACATGTCAGGAAGCGGGCAGAGCACCAGGCGGCTTACTTCTAGCCCAGCTGTATGAGAGTCCACTGCTCAGTTGAGCCAAAATTTGTATATCCAGGCTCCTGTTCAGTGATCTGTTAACATTTTCTAATCTTTTACAGTTACAAATAGTGTGAACAGCTTCTGTACCTACGAACAAAATGTCTGTAGGATACATTTCTAAAACTAGGGGCACCTGGGTGGTTCAGTCGGTTAAGCCTCTGACTTCAGCTCAGGTCATGATCTCACAATTTGTGAGTTCAAGCCCCACGTCGGGCTCTATGCTGACAGCTCGGAGCCTGGAACCTGCTTTGGATTTTTTCTCCCTCTCTGTCTGCCCCTCCCCAACTCTCACTCTGTCTCTCTCTCAAAAATAAATAAAACATTTTTAAAAAGTTTGGGGCACATGGTTCTAAGGATGCGGAGAGCCAGGGTGGGGAAACAGGCCTTCTCCCCAGTCCCACCTGCAGCCCCCAAGTTCAGGCAAACTGTCGGGTCCACAATGGAACATGCCTTTGCCAGGGTGGCGCTCCCCCAGACCAGACCCCGCCCTCCCAGGGGAGTCGGCCCAAGAAACATGCCTGTTTGGCGGTCCATAGCAGATAGTAAACTGTCGCCGCATCCCTGTTACATGGAATTTCTCACTTTCACACTTGTGAAAGAAGTTTCAACAATTTTGCTTTTGAAATTAGTTGATTACTAATCACTGGGCTCCGAGTTCTTAGAAAATCACTTTATTGCCCTATAATTCACACACCATACATACAGTTCACACACCTTACAATTCACCCATTGAAAATGTATTACTTAGTTGTTTGGTATGTTATTAATTCTTTAAGATTGTGGGAGGCACCCGGGTGGCTCAATCCATTAAGCATCTGACTTTGACTCAGGTCATGATGTCATGGTTCGTGAGTTCGAGCGCCGCATTGGGTGAGCTTGAGCCCTGCTTTGGGTGAGTCCTGTTTCTCTCTCTCTCTCCCTCCCTCTCCTTCGGTCTCCCCCTCCTGTCTGCCCCTCACTCACTTGCACCCTCTCTCAAAAAATACGATTGCACAGAGTGAATTACATCCACAGTGTTGCACAAGCATCACTGCATCTAATTCCAGAACTTTCATCGCCCCGAACAAACCGTGACCATCACGGCTCTGGTTTTCCAGCTGTCGGGGCCGCATACTTGTATTCCTCAGCTCGGGCCGCTGTAACAGAACCCCACAGACGGGGGGGCTCAGGCAACAGAAACTCACTGCTCACAGTTCTGGAGGCTGGACGTCCAAGATCGGGTGGCAGCAACTTTCATCCTGGCGCCTCTTCTCCTGGCTTGTGGGGCCACCATCTCTGAGCCCATGTGGCCTGTTTGTGTCCCTGCAGAGGGGGCTCTGGTCGCCGTTGCTCTTGGAAGGACACCAGTCCTTTTAGATTAGGGCCCACCCTTAGGACCTCATTTAACCTTACTTTAACCTTACTTACCTCTCTCTCTTTTTTTAATGTTTCTTTATCTTTGAGAGAGTGCACACACAGGAGGGGCAGAGAGGGAGCGAGAGGATCCCAAGCAGGCTCTGTGCTGTCAGCACCCACCCGGGGCTCGATCTCACGAACCTTGTGATCATGACCTGAGCTGAAATCAAGTGTCAGAAGCTCAACCGACTGAGCACACCCAGGCGTCCCCTCCTTTCATCTCCAAATACAGTCACATTGGTGGTTAGCGTTTCAACACAGAAATTTGGGGCAGGGGCACAATTCAGTTCATAGCGCTTAGGAATTCTTTTGAAGTGAGAAAAACCTAATTTTCAAATAAAATGATTTTTTTTTTTAAACATTAAAGTCAAGGGAACATTACATTTTGGAGTTTAAGATACACAGTTTTGCTCTTTTTCTGGCTGGAACCACGGAGGGTGCCGAAGAGGAAAAAGAAGCTTCCTGCTGTGACAGAAACCCTTAAGAAAAAGCAAAGGAAGCTGAGCAAAATAAGTCAGGCAGAGAAGGACAAATATATGTTTGCACGTATAGGAGGATTAGGAGGAACTTAACTGAGGAACAAGGGGGAGAAGAAGGGGGGAAATGGTGGGGGAAAGGGAGAGAGGCAAACCATGAGAGAGTCTTGAATGCTGACAAAAACTGAGCACTGATGGATGTGGGGGGGAGGGGGGATGGGCGTGGAGGAGGGCACTTGTGGGGATGAGCACTGGGTGTTATATGGAAACCAACTTGACAAGAAACTATTTAAAAAAAAAAAAAGAAAAGAAAAAGCAAAGGAATTTCACAGAGTTGAAGACCAAGTGTCTAAAAAAGAAGTTTGCCCAAAAGATGCTTCAAAAAGCAAGGAGGAAGCTTATTTATGAGAAGGCTAAGCATTACCACAAGGAATACGGGCAGATGTACAGAACTGAGATTCGGATGCCAAGAAAAGCTGGCAACTTCTACGTGCCCACGGAGCCCAAATTGGCATTTGTCATCGGGATCCGAGGTATCGATGGTGTGAGCCCAAAGGTTCGAAAGGTGTTGCAGCTCCTTGGCACCGTTGTTCAGCTCAACAAAGGCTTCAGCTAACATGCTAAGGATTGTGGAACCATGTAAAGCGTGCGTGTACCCAAACCTGAAGTCCGTGAACGAATTGATGTACAAGCGGGGTTATGGCAGAATCAACAAGAAGCGCCTTGCCCTGACAGATAACACATTGATTGCTCCATCTGTTGGTAAATACGGCATCATCTGCGTGGAGGACCTGATTCATGAGCTCTACACTGTTGGAAAACGTTTCAAAGAGGCAAACAACTTTTTATAGCCCTTCAAGTTATCTTCTCCACGAGGGGGAATGAAGCAGAAGACCACCCATTTTGTAGAAGGTGGAGATGCTGCAACAGGGAAGACCAGATCAATAGGCTTATTAGAAGAATGAACTAAGGTGTCTACCGTGATTATTTTTGTAATCTAGCCAGTTAATAAATGACTGCTTTCAAATTAAAAAAAAAAAAAATAGTTTCAAGATGTGATCCTTTTTACAGTTTTCTGAAGTCTTCTTTCTAATCACTTCCCCCAAGAGAGCAGATTCTATAGATCTCTTCTCAGCCCTGTTCAATTATGTCACATCAGTAGTTTGAAAGTGGCCATAATGGAAATATTTAACCCCACAGAAATTGGCAAATATTACAGCATTCCACTGTCTAAGCTATATTATTTCACTAAGTAAAAGCAGAAATGAGTCATTTAGAAAATAATAGAGTTAATGCATGAATTGAAAAGCTGCTTCACTGAAAATTACTGATAAAATGTGTATCAGTCTCAGTCATCAGCCAGCCAGAAAGCCAAGCTCACGCTGAGTAACTCGATTATGGGAATTTAGTTATGAGGTATCTGAAAGAGGATGTGAGGGAAGGTGGGTCCTGAGACATGAGCAGCAGCATGAAGTTACACGGAGGGACGAAGGGGTGGGGGTGGGGGGGCACAGGTGACCAGAGCTGAACAGTCGGGCCTCCCAGTAAGGAGGGGAGCACAAGAATCCTGCTGGCGGGGGCTGGGACCGGGGAGCAGGAGCCGTCAGCCGCCCAGCGCCCCGCCTGTGCCAGGCACCACGTGTGACAGGAGCTCGTCAGGAGGGGAGCCCAGAGGGGCGGCCAGCAGGGGTCTGCACCAGCAGCACCGACCGGACAGAACCAGGATGGACCTGAGGACAGAAACCTGGCCCCACATCTAAACTTCTATGAATTTAGCAAGAAAAAGAAAAAAAAAAAGAATAAAATAGGACGAAGGTTGTAAAAGAACACTGAACAATTATATGTTAACTTGAAAACCTCAAGATATTGTTAATTTTCTTTTTTATGTTTATTTTTTGAGAGAGCATACGTGGAGGAGGGGCATAAAGAAGGGGACAGAGGACCTGAAGTGGGCTCCGCGCGAACAGTAGCGAGCCTAATGTGGGGCTCGAGCTCACAAATCATGAGATCGTGACATGAGCGGAAGTCAGACGCTCAACCACCCAGGCACCCCAATACTGTTAATTTTCTTAAAGACACTGATATTTATAAACTACTATTTTAGTAGAAAATTTGAAATTACCCAATACTCAAGAAGGAAAAACTGGGATGCCTGGGTGGCTCAGTTGGTTAAATGTCCCAACTCTTGATCTTGGCTCAGGTCAAGATCTCATGGTTCGTGAGATCAAGCCCCACATCGGGCTCTGCGCTGACAGCACAGAGCCTGCTGGGGATTCTCTCTGTCCCTTTCCCATTCTCTGTCTTTATCTATATATAAATATGTATTTTTTTAAAGTTTAAATAAATGAACATTTAAAAAATAAAATGTTAAAAAAAAAAACTGTTAAAAGAGTAGCACCAAAAAGGATGTTGGGGGTAGGGCAATTTTGTGGGTACTTTTTTTTAAACTTTTACTTATTTTCTAATAATTATTTCTGAGAGAGAGAGAGAGAAACAGTGTGAGCAGGGGAGGGACAGAGAGAGGGAGACACAGAATCTGAAGCAGGCTCCAGGCTCTGAGCTGTCAGCACAGAACCCAACACAGGGCTTGAACTCACAAACTGAGATCATGACCTGAGCCGAAGTCCAATGCCACCCAAGTTCCCCCGGATTTTAACTTTTAAGGAACAGCAAGTTCCCATGCTCTAGAGACATTCTCATTAAAAAACAAAACAAAACTGGGTAACTAGCTGATTCCTTTTAAGGTACTATAATCATATAATACCGTATGTGATCATATATACCACCCCATGGCGTAGAAACCGTGTGTGTCACAGACCCGCACACACAGACACACTTGCTCAAGCTCAGTCATTAACACTAGATAGTGGCCCTCAACACCCACCAGCCCCCACACTCCTGTGAATACCCTTTTACTGTCCTGAAATAAAATTTTACAGGGAAAATGGATTACTTAACAATTTCAAAACCAGTGTAAGTACAAAAGAATATGTGTTTCGATACATAAATGTTCATACTTCCCCAGCAATGTAATCAGATGCTTGCACTGTATGTGAAGTCATTGAGAACGGGACAGCTCCAGGTACGGACCGGTCCAGGTGTGCCGTGTGTGCGCCTCACGCACCAAAGAGTCGATGACATGATTCTTCTGAACTGGTGAAAACCTCTTTGGAAAGTTCTGAACAAAACAATGTACTATTTTCCCTAATTTTTTTTTTAAGTTTATTTATTTTGAGAGAGAGCATGTGCAGGTACAGGGGAGGAACAGAGAGAGGCAGAGAGAATCCCAGGCAGGCTCCATGCTGTCAGTGGGACACAGGGCTTGATCCCACGCACCGTGAGATCGTGATCTGAGCCGAAATCCAGAGTCAGACACTTAACTGACTGAGCCACCCAGGTGCCCCTATTTTCCCGTTTTATATAGTAGTTGAGGTTCTGGGAAATTTGGATTATATGAAAACCGTGCAAAGCTGTCCTTACATAGATGTGAAAAGTGAAGTTCTAGGCTCACATAAAAGATTCCCCTCCATCCACTGGTTCTCAAACTTTCACATATGTCAGAATCACCGAGCGACGCGGTTCAGATTGCTAGGCTCCACCGCTGGAGTTGCTTACCAGGGTTTAGTGAGAGAGGCAGGCTAGCAGGAGCTCCTTCAACACGCACACACACACACTTGACCTTATGTACCTGGGGGAGCTGGGCCAGCTGTCCCTGTGACACTGTTGTCTTCACGTCCGCTGCTGGGCCCCGGCCCGTGGACAGGCAGCTGGGAAGGGAAGGTGGATGTGGCGGCTGGGGGGGGGGGGGGGGGGGGGGGGGGGGGGGGGAGCTGGGACCACCTGGAACGGGCCAATTCTAGCTGTCTCCAGGGTTGATGACGTGGGTCTTCTGCAGGAGGAGCTGACCCCGTTCACCACAGAGCTAAACACACCTGTGGCTGAGGAGTGGGAGAAGCTGAAGACAGCAGCTGCATGCAGATCGGCACCAGCGTGAGCTGCAAAGGCACCTGCGCCGCCGCCCAAGCATGAAAACAAAATGGCAGCTGCTTCACTTCCTCCAAATCTCATCCCAAAATGACTCTTGTGGCTCACTCTACCTGGAAACATACAGGGAAGGGAACTCTGGGGGATGTGGTTCTATCTGACCGAGTCACCACATTATAAAGCCACCTCAAGTTTGGGGGTGCAGCTGGAGAATTTGCATTTCTAGTAGGTTCCCAGGCGATGCTCCTGCCGCATGTGTGTGAGCGACCCTGAGTCCCTGCATGTCTGGCAGCACATCTGTTGTGCAGGACTGTCTCAGCAATCGCATTATGTCTGTGTGGCCCCCGCCACCAAATGCCAGTTGAGCCACCAATTTGTGGGACAGCTACAGCTCCTCACCTCCAGTTTCCAGAATGTTCATTTGGAAATCTACAGTCCCCGGGAAGGAACTCCTGGGGTTCTCAGCAATTCTAGGAAGATGTCCCAGGGAATCCCTAGAGGGACCCAAAGACAACTCATCATTCACATTGACATCAGCACAGGACCCACTCCAGCTCAGCTCTGGGCAAGGAGAGCTGAGACTCAGTAGCACGGAAGGGAGAGAATGTTCAGGAACTGTGTTGGCCTCACAAAAATTCAAGATCTAAGAGAAAGACGAAGCAGCAAAATGGAGAGAAGCAGAAATACAGCAAGTGGCCCTGCAGCAAAGGTGAGTAATTCAGCTTGGGGCCGCTGTTGCTCACGCGTGAGGCTGGGTTTCGGGGCAAGGAGAGTATGAGTCTGTGGAAGAAGCCCTGGCCTGGAGCACGGGGCACCTGTGCAGAGGAGGGCAGGGGCGAGAAGTAAACCGCAGCCTGAGACGGGTGGACAGGGAGGGCAAAGAGAGGGAGACAGACAGAGGGCACAGTAAAGTTGGCACGAATGAAGGAGACCCGGACGGTCCCGCCCATACGTCATTGCGGCGACTGGTTATTACGGACGGGTCCGGTCAGCGGGGCTCGCGGCTGTGGGGGGAGGCGGTGGTACTGCAGGTTCTGGTCCTTCCACCGCATCCACTGAGCATCGCACCGCACTGGCTGCCGGGATCGGAGATACAGAGATGTGCAAACCTGGCCCCCCTGGTGGGGGACCTGAAGGAACCACTTGTAGGGCGAGGGGTTGGGTGTTCTGAGGGCACCGAGGGCCGAGTATCCACCCCTGCTTGGTGAGAGCAGGGGTGCACAAGAAAGAGGATATTTGAGTTGTACCCTTCCTTCAGGCCAAGGAGAGGGTGGGGTGTTCCAGGCCAGGGGGAGCAGCCTGGGAAGCGACACAAGTGAGAAGCGCCACAGGCCCAGCCTGAGGGGCAAAGCAGGTTGGACATACGACTGAGAAAATGGGCTGTGGCCAGGCAGTAATGGCCCTGGGTGCCGGCTGGAGAGCGGAGCCTGGAGTGCTGGAGGCTTCCGGGTGAGCAGTTCCGGGCAGTGACTCTGCGCTTGTCTGGACGAGTGGACGTAGGCCTCCTCCAGGCCGCGAGATGTGTGCCCAGATGGCCGCACGTGCGGCAGGCCGTCTTTATATGCTCGTTTATCATTTTGGAGACGTTTCCTCTGTGAAGTATATACCCAGTCAGTGAAGCGGTTTAGATTTTCTGTGTCCAGCACTACCCCGTGGACTTGGGCAGAATGAGTGCCAGGAAGTCAGCAGACACAAAGGACGAATATATGAACCTGCTTACATGAGGGGCCTGACCCAGGCCAATTCACGGAGACAGAAAGTAGAATCGTGGTTGCTGGGGGGAGGGGAATGGGGAGTTAGTGGTGAGTGGATACACTCTCAGTTTGGGATGATGAAAAAGTTTTGGTGTTGGATGGTGGTGATCATTGCACAGAAATGCAAATGTATTTAATGCCCTGAATTGTACACTTAAACACGGTAAAATGGTAAATTTGATGTTGTGTATGTTTTACCATAGTTTTATTTAATCTGAGTTTTAAAATTTTATTTTATTTTTTGAGAGAGGGCAAAAGTGAGCAAGGGGGAGGGGGGGGAAGAGAGAGAGAGAAGTTGGGTTGCCCAAAATGGGGCTTGAACTCACCCAGTGCAGGGCTCGAACCCACGAGCCATGAGAACATGACCTGACTGAAGTCAGATGCTTAACGACTTGAGCCACCCAGGCACCCCCCCAGTTTTTTTAATGTTTGTTTATTTTGAGAAAGAGACACAGAGCAGGGGGTGGGGGCGGAGAGAGAGGGAGATAGAGAATCCGAAGCAGGCTCCACGTTGTCAGCGCAGAGCTCCACTTCGGGTTTGAGCCCAGGAACCATGAGATCGTGACCTGATCTGAAATCAAGAGTTGGACGCTTAACCAACTGGGCAAGCCAGGTGCTCCTGTTTTACCACAATTTTAGAACATGGATGCCAGGGTCCAGTGCTTGAGAGGCCCAGCGCCATCCAGTCCACCTCTCGCTGTGCCCTTCCCCGTAGGGGACACCTGCAGAATTTTCTGAATATCTTTAAAACAACTGCATTTTATTTTTATTTATTTTTTTATAGTTTTATTATTTATTTTTGAGATAGAGCATGAGCGGGGGAGGGGCAGAGAGAGAGGGAGACACAGAATCTGAAACAGACTCCAGGCTCTGAGCTGCCAGCACAGAACCCGATGCTGGGTTTGAACCCACGAACCGCAAGATCATGACCTAAGCTGAAGTTGGATGCTTACCCTACTGAGCCACCCAGGCGCCCCAACAACTGCATTTTATTTTATTTTATTTTATTTTATTTATTTATTTATTTATTTATTTATTTATTTATTTATTTATTTATTTCTGAGAGAGAGAGAGACAGCATGAGCGGGGGAGGGTCAGAGAGAGAGGGAGTCACAGAATCTGAAGCAGGCTCCAGGCTCTGAGCTGTCAGCACAGAGCCCGACGCGGGGCTCGAACCCACGAACCGTGAGATCCTGACTTGAGCTGAAGTCGGACGCTTAACTGACTGAGCCCCCCAGGCGCCCCCCAACGCCTAGAGTGTTAGACGAGTGTTACAGCCTGTACGCTGGCCAGCATCTCCCAATGTTGGGGGCCGGCCCTGGGGCTGCAGTTGTGGTTGTATGTTTTAAATGATGGCCATGTGTTTGGGGAATCAGACCCCAGAACCAGGAGTGACAGTTCTGCAGATGAGAACATGGGGCACAGAGAAGGGATGTGGCCTGGACAGGAGGTGGGTCACTAAAGGGACCAGCTGTCCAGAGCGGTTTTGGGAACCGGGGTCCTGCCGCTACGCCCGCAGGTTTTGCCCCCCTCCGCCGTGGGCCTTCAGCACATCAGCATCTCACAGGCCTGACAGACGCTGTCCTTGCTAAGGGGCTGTGGAAGGGACTCTCAAAGAGGCATTCTGAGCACACACAATCATTCCCTTCTGTGTAACCACAACAGAAGCTGTGGCCCCCAGCAGTGCACAGCTGGGGGCTGATACAACAGGGTGATCAAGACCCCACTCCCCCACCCCCACCCACGGTGGAGGCAGACAGATCAGAGCTGCAGTCCCAGCTCTGTGCCTCTCCCCACACCTCGGGAGTGGCCGAGATGGTTAAGTGACACCTCTCAATAAAGGGCTTAGCGAGGGGCCTGCTTCACCGAATATGCGGGGAAGGGGACTTCTGTTGATTCGCGACTGGAGGGCTGGTGGAGCTGTGCAGAAGGCCTGGGGAGCCGGCGTCCTGGACGGAAGTAAAGGGAGAGGGTCCTGTTCTCTGCGGGAAGAGCAGAGCTATCAGAGCCAGTGAGTGGGGTCCCCATTCTGGACTGAACAGGAAGGGAGAGAGGGTCACAGGCACCCGAGCAGGGTTTGGCACTGTGGCCGTTAGAGTCTCTCAGGCTGTCCTCCCTAGGGCTGAGTCTGTGATAACTTGATGAAAACAGCCAACACCCTTAGACCATCCCACTCCCAGGATTCGCTTGGAATTCACCTATTTGATGGGTTAATATACTTGCATCAGCTTCGGCTCTTAGGATCAGTGCCCTGAAACCCAACTCTTGTGTTTGTTTCTTGCTCTCTGCACTTGAGAATAATAACAGGTATTTCTGCTATGTGCCTCTTTAGTTAAAATTTTGCAGTACATAATGTGATTGTCATCTATTGCAACTTTTATAATAGAGGTGAATTTCATGTAGTCCCAGTGTTCACTGTATTATTTTTATCTGGAGGGATTTCCAAGTGAACAGCTTCCAAAAGCCGCCCTGCTTGCCTAGTTCAGAAACTCTGAAGCCATCATTAAGAGCTGGAGCTGGAGGTGAGCTAAAAACTAAAGCCCCGAGAGCTCTGCTCAGGCCGTGTACCGAGGTAGACAAAAGGGTAAATCAGAACACTCTTGAGCAAGGTAATGGATGACTAGTTTCAAATCAAAATCCAGGCACTGTGAAAAGTACATATGACACGTGGTTCACTGGGAAACCTCTCCCTGTGATAGTCAACTGGAGAAACTCACTGCTCTAGTCTTCTACCCGAACCACCTGCAGGAGCCATCTCATCACACGTCCCAGGGCTCCCCCTGGGAGGAGCAAGACACTACTCTGTGCTGGAAATACATTGATAAGAGGCCTCTAAGGTGTTTTGAAGACAATTCTCAAAAGAAAACTCAATGTCTTCAATAACGGCAACAACATAGAAAGTCCACAGGCCAACAGAATGGCTGTTTTTGACAGACAACACTTACTTAAATAAGTTCTTTTATGTTCATTAAAAAAGACCCCTTAATCATTCTATAAACCTAATCATAGGAAATTGTTACAGGTGTAGTCTGTGCTTTGTTTTATAATTGGTGGGCTTCTGGGAAGTTGGGGGGAAATATTTTCAAGTCAAATGCACAAAGGAAACGATCTCAAGAGGAAGACACTGTTTTCCATTGATTTCCAAGCACTGTGTGCTGTGTGTGCCAGAGTCCCTCCTTCCAGGGGCTGTGCTCTGCTTGCTCAGAGACCCCCCGGTCTCCAGGACCCCCGTGCACCTGCACAGCCTCCCCTGCGGGAACCAGCGGGCTTGTCAGAGGCCAGGGTACAGAGGCAGCTCCTCCAGCCCAGTGTCCTTCTTAACCACTGCCAAGGTTAGTAGTCGTTGCTCCGGACATACTTACAAACAGAAAAGGCTTCCCCCACCTCATCATCCTGTTCGTGGTCTCCTGGACCCAGGGTTATCTCTTAGAGCACCGTGTGGGCCGTAAGGAGTGGTTTGGAGTGGTTCTACCCTGCGAGAAGTCTCCGTAGGTCGAATACTGATAATTTCTGGTCTCATGCCGCAGAAATGCCAGTCTCCTATGGTTCAACCTAATAGGCCGAGAAGAAGCGAAGGCCATGGTTTAGAAAGCCAGCCTGGAGCACTGACCTCTCCTCCTCCAAATGACACAATAGAGTGCTTTCCTCTCGGGTAATAAGAGGAACGTGGAGAAATGCAGACAGTTCCCGGGCCCAGTCCTCCCACAGGGAGAACCTGGAAGACCTTGGAAAATGTTCTGCGTTCATAAATCCCTGTCTAGCTGCCCTACGCAGAGAAGAGCTCAGCAATTACTGGCTCTGTGGCGGAGCCGGCCGCCATTAACGCCGTGAGTGCAGGGGGGCAGACCTCCTCTGTCCTTGAAGGGGGGTCCTGGGGACAAGAGTCTCACCCTCATATTACCAAGCTGTGGAAATTAAGGCACAGAATCCTAATGGAGGCCTATTGTGATGGTGACCCAGTCCGATCCAGAACTGGTCTCTGAATTCTCTGGAAATTAGCCTCCATGTCAACAGCACAGAGAAGAAAGCCCTGAGTAGTATTTCATAAGCCAGCTGAGTCTTCAGTGAGAGAAACACAATGACCTCTATTGAACTGTGACCTAAATCCCTTCCCCTCCATCTCCTGGGGGTTGTGGTATAGAATGAAGGACCATGCGGGCCTTTCTTGGAACAGATTCCGTGGTGCTTCTATATTTGATACTTTAAAGAAATTTCTACTGCATTCAGAGTCTCTCGCCCACATGGGTTCTCCGATGTGCGCTAAAATGCGAACTGTTGTTAAATCGCCTCCCGCAGGCATCGCATTCGTAGGGTTTTTCTCCTGTGTGGATTCTCTGGTGTATGATGAGACTGGAGCTCTGACTGAAGCTTTTCCCACACTCACCACACTTGTAGGGCCTCTCTCCAGTGTGGATTCGCCGGTGGGTGATGAGGTTTGAGCGGTCACTGAAACTTTTCCCGCACTCGACACATTCGTAGGGTTTCTCTCCTATGTGGATCCGCTGGTGGCTGGTGAGCGTGGAACTCTTACTGAACTTCTTCCCACACTCAGGGCACCGGTACGGCTTTTCGCCCGTGTGTGTTCGCCAGTGTGCACTGAAGTGCGAGCTATCGGTGAAACTCCTTCCACACTCACTGCACTTCTGGGGTTTCTCTCCTGTGTGGACTCTCTGGTGCATTAGAAGGCTCGAGCTCTGGCTGAAGCTTTTCCAGCACTCCCCACATTTATAGGGCTTCTCTCCAGTGTGGACTCTCTGGTGTACGGCCAGGTTAGAATGATCACTGAAGCCTTTCCCACATCCGGGGCGTTTGTAGGGCTTCTCCCCGGTGTGAGTTCTCTGGTGGCAGGCCAGATGTGAGCTTTGGCCAAAGCCTTTCCCACACTGGCCACACTGAAAAGGTTTCTTTTCTCCAAGGTGGGCTAACCTGTGGACGGCTAAGTGGGAGCTCTGGCTGAAATTTTCCCCATAGTCACAGCACGGATAGGCTTTTTCGCCAACGTAGGTTCCCTGGGGACCTATGAATTTCCCCGTGTCTCTTTCGGGAGGAGAGAGTGACTCTCGTCCGTCTTCTAAGGGTAGTTCCCATTGCTTTTCTCCCCCATATTTCCCTTCCCAGTCTTTCCTCCAGTCAAGGTACCGGGAAGCATCCACTTTGGGTCTTTCTAATAATGCCCCCGGGAGTTCTGCTGCCTCTGAAATGTTCTGGCTTGAATTCTCCTCATCCTCTGTCCTTGTTTCAGGATCTGAAAGAATAAGATGAAATTGCAAATGTAGCCTGTTTTCTGAGCTCAGAAGAACGGAACAAATGCGAAAGAGGCGCTACTGGACACTGGGAAACAAACTCTTGATGGTGACAGATAGAACACACTCAACTTGCCATTAATCAGGAACTAATCATCTGGAATAGGGCTGAGCCACGGTCAAGACAGCAGACTTCCAGATCTCACTCCCTCCCCCCAGCTTCTAAACAAGAGGGTCATGTGGAGAAAGGCTGAGGAAAGGGAGGAGAGCAGGGTCCAGGCCCACTTCTTCCTCTCCGCGCCCCCCCACCCCCGTCAGAGGCCCTGCCTCCAGGCGTGCCCCCCCCCCACCTCTGGGCTGGCAATCAATACTAAAAAGCTACCGTTCTCTTCCAGGTAGAGAGACAAGGCTGGGAATAATTCTGGCCTCTCTCTGTCCCCTTTCTTGTAACTGGGAGGAAGGACTTCTTTGATGAACAAGGAGCCAGGCCGCATGGCTCAGAAGACCAGCTAAGAAGGCCCTGTCCCTGCGGTGCGAGGATGTGGCTGCCTGGGGCTCAACCTGGAGTTCCGTGGGAGGAAGCCCACTCTGGCCACACCTCTAAGCCGCACTGTCCAACGGCTCTACAGTTGAAAAGCTGCCACTTGATCTCAGTGTCTTACTCTTATATTTCTTGGTTGCTCTGGAAGCTGAGTGGGGGAAGAACAGTTTATTTCTTGGATCTCCTAAAATTCCAACGAAAGGACTGAGCCCCACCGAGGAAAGCTCCTCGTAACCGTGAGAAAGTCTCCCTCCAATAATCCAAGGCTGACTGCAGTTTAATGCAGGGTTGCCAAGGCTTGCTTTTTCTATTAATCTAGTTAAGTGATAGTTAATTATAGTTAAAACTCTGATAGAAATCTAAAGGGGGGGGTGCCTGGCTGGCTCAGTCGATAAAGCACGTGACTCTTGATCTTGGGGTCATGAGTTCGAGCCCCACATGGGGGGTAGATGTTTACTTAAAAAATAAGGGGGCATTTAGAAAAAAAGAAATTTAGGGGCAACTAGGTGGCTCAGTCAGTTAAGCGTCTGACTTTGGTCCAGGTCATGATCTGACAGTTCATGGGTTCGAGCTCTGTGTTGGGTTCTGTGCTGACAGCTCAGAGCCTGGGGCCTGTTTTGGATTCTATGTCTCCCTCTCTCTCTGCCCCTTCCTTGCTTGCATTCTGTCTCTGTCTCTCTCTCAAAAATAAACATTAAAAAAAAAGAAAGAAACTGAAGAGGGGAACCATCTACACTAAGAATTTGTTCGTATCTATAAGCCGCAGTAACTCAGGAGGGCAGGCTTTCCTAGCTGCCACCTGCTTTTCTGTTCTTCTCCCACATCCTGTGGTTTTAGCACCTCCGCACAATAAACCGGGAGGGCCAAGTGAGAGGGCTCCTCTCCCAGCCCTTGCCCAGTGCTGCCTTGTCCGTGGTCAGAGTTCCGGGTCTGACTTCCCTGTTGGTGCCGTACTAGCTTTCTCTCGTTTACATTCATGTCCCACCTGCACAGGATGTTTTCCGAAAGTCCCGGAGACCGTCAGCCCAGAGCTCTTCGCTTTTCTCCGGCCTCGAGGCCCTGTCCAGCTGGCGGACTGGACGTCCTGCTCAAGGAAAATCAAGAAGAGACAAGGAATGCTTATGCAGTTTGCGTTCTGTTCTCATCTGGAAGTGGTGGGTGAAATGAATGGAAACACCTCCCCGAGAGATCTGGTTTTCAGAAGAGAACATTTAGTTAATGACTCAGGAAATGTGCTCCCTTAAGTGAGGAGTACAGGGCAAGGTGTTCATCTAACTTAACAATAGTTACAACAATGATGACCATGAAAACGAGCATCTGCTGAGGGCCAGCGATGTGCCGGGATCCTCATAACAGCCCAGTGAGGTAGATACTGTCACTCTGTCCATTTTACAGATGAGAAAATGGAGGCCTAGGATGTGTAACCAGCTTGCTCAAGAACACACAAGTCTTTCCATGGGAGACTGTTGTATGTAATACGGGCAGGGCACGCTACCTGGAAACAAACAGCTGGAACTTTAAATCTCTCCACCCTCTCTTGACTCCTAGAACGGTTACCAAATATTGTTTCGATAATGTTGTTACTAACAGCTGACCGGGAGCAGGGCAAGACCCTCAAAGTTGTGTGTGTGAGTCACCCCAGGCTACTCGTTAGGAAATCAGCAATTTCCCTCCTGAAGATCTGAGTGCAGAGTGATGGACAATAAGCATCTCTCCTGCTTCACGGTCCCTGATTCTTACGCGGGACTTCATCTGCCCACTGTCTGCGGCCACCGCGGGGAGGAGCGCTTACCGCTGGGGTTCCCCCTCGGAGCCGGGGCGCCACGGCTCCTGGGGTCCTCTGGGGGCTCCTCCGCCAGTTCACTGCAGTCTCCCGCCACACCTTGCAGCGCGGCCTTCTGGTTCTCTTCGGAGCCCCCTCTATTCCGCAGAAGGCCTCCGGCCGCCTCCAGGGCATCCAAGGTGCCGGCGAGGGTCCAGGGGCTCATCAGGGCATCCATCTCACGGTAGAAGGGGCAGGTGCCCGGGGCGTGCGTGCTCCTGGCTTTGCAGTGGTGGGTCTGCAGGTTTTTGAACCGGTAGTGACACTGCTCCAGGGTCCGCGGGAAGCCGCGCTCCCGCAGCCGCTCGGCCACCAGCCGGTACACCTGGCGGTTGCGGTGGCAGGTGTGCAGCTTCTCATGGATCCAAGACTCGCTGAGAATCCCCAAAAAAATCTTGGTTTCCTCGTAGCCCCAGTGCACCCCTGCCACCTTCTCATCCTCCAGGCCGTGCAACGCCAGCTTGGCCCATGTCTTGGCTTTTCTCAGGACGGGCCCGTGGCCTCTCCCCCCGCCGGCCAGGGGGTCACTGGTGCTCTCCTCCTCTCGGGGACACTGAAGATCTCGCCCCCGCGGGCCTTCCTCCTGCCACACGTGGGAGCTGACCCTGGGTGGGGGGGGGTGGCAAACCTGTTCACAGGGAGACACACAGAAGACACGGTGGTTGGGCTGATATAATCCCAACCACTTTATATGCTAGGAGGGGACATACCATTAATTTTTTTTAAGTCTAAGGGGATTCTTGGCAAGCCTTGGTAAAAGGAACATTCAGGCTATAAGGGAAGAGTAAGAAAAAAATCCAGGCTCCAATCTAGAACTACACATGCACGTTCATCTGTCCTGAAACAAAATTCAGGCTCCCACCAGAGGCTTTACTGACCATCTTCCTAAGATGATCTTCAATACAATACCCTCTCTGGGTTCTAGAAACCTCATCCTTGATAGCACTGTCTTTGGTATTAGATCAGTGAGTCTCTTTTCAAGCAGGATTGAGGGCTTTGAACAATTCGATTCCAAAGTCAGGAGTAGCGAACACTACATATAACGAACGCCATAGCTATCTTTGTACGGGAAAATGGCGCTTTTACCCAGCGAGCCCTCACTTGCAGATTTCTCCCAACTTCTTTCCAGGTGGTTCCTCCATCCAGGTTCTGGCTGCCGCCGTGCCTCCTGGGAGATGTACACAGCCACACCGCTGAATGTCACCAACTCCTGGGAAAACCTAACACCCTGTTCAAAATGTGCTGCCTTGGGACAAAATGCCTCTCCATGTGGCCTTCGTCAGACAGCAGGTGACAAAAAAGACTTAGAAGGAACTAAAAAGTGAGTTTTTGTTGGCTTTTAAAGACAATTGGGGCAGAGGAAGGGAACAGGGGGGAGAAAGAAAAGAAAATCTAACATTTACTGAATGCCAGTGTGCTGTGCCGGAAGTTTTCACGCTTCCTCAGGCATACAGTCAGTAGGTGGCAGAACCAGGATTTGAACACGGGGCTCTGACCTTGAAGCTTTGTCCCCTCCACCCCCCCACAGCCCTGCACACCATGTGGGCAAGATTCGGATACGGAGAAAAGGAAGTAACCATTCCTTCTAAGGCAAACACGCAAATCAGCATGATCTTACAATCCCGGGCTCAAGGAAAAGAATTACTTCTACCACTCCTCCCTGCCTCAGCTGTGGTGCTCCCTTGCATAAGGAGGGGGGTTTGGACAACATCTTTCTGGCTGGTGAAATTCTGGAGCCTAATCTATAAAGTTACTGAGCCCCTCCACCCCACCCCCACTGGCTAAAATTCCCTTGGTGTTTCTGGTAAGCAAAAGAGTTGGTGGCAAAGGGCCCCCACTCGAGTAGTAAAAGGTGTATGAGGAAGATCTGGCTCACCTGGGGGCTGCCCATCATCCCCTGGTCACCGCCGCTGTCCTCCAGAGAAAGACCCCGAGTCCCAGGATCAGGCAGGACTGTGGGGGAGAGAGGAGCCATTAGAAGACCAGATTCTTGACCTCTCCTGAGGACGGGCCCAACTTAGCTCTGAAACAGAAGAGTCTTCTCCCTTCTCTTGGAGTCTGCTCGGTCCCTGCAGAGAAAGCTGGTGAAAAAACAAAATGACGCATTTCTAAGAGAGTTCCTGATTTTTCCCTTCCGTATCCATCCAGGTTACTGACAGTTTTAGGATTTTCTTCTTCAGTTAAAAAAAAAATTTTTTTTTAATGTTTATTTATTTTTGAGAGAGACAGAACAAGTGGGGAAGGGCAGAGAGAGAGGGAGACACAGAATCCGAAGCAGACTCCAGGCTCTGAGCTGTCAGCACAGAGCCCAACATGGGGCTGGAACTCACAAACCATGAGATCATGACCTGAGCTGAAGTCGCTCAACTGACTGAGCCCCCCAGGCGGCCCCCTCTTCTTCAGTGTTGATAACACATTTGCATCATCCGAATTGGTCTGGGAACACACGTACCTGTCCTGAGAACGACTGCACTTTGGTTTGACCCCTCCTGGTGCTTTCCCCACCAGCCAGGCCTAAAATCTGTGCCCATGCCTCACCTACTGGGACGGCAACCTCTCACTCGTGCAGGGAGAGGTGCCGCAAGCCCTGCTGTGTAGTTTTACAAAACATGCCAACCAAGGCCCTTCCTCTGCTTGGAGGTGCCTGTCGAAGATCCCCCAGGCCTCATTTCACATGCCCCATCCTCCCACCTTCAGTACTCTGAGGGAACTTACTCTCCCCCCTCCCCCATGGCTGCTTCTTACCTCTCCTGTGCAAGGCTGGGAGTTCTACTTTGGGACTGTGATTCCACGGTTCTTCCAGTTCTGGCTGTGAGTTCTTCACCACTGCCTGTAACAGACACACGGATCCTGTCTGCTTGCTTGGGATGGATGTTTTGGGAACCCAGTACTAGTCCTAAGTGTTCCTTCTCCTCTGAGCGTACCTCCTGTCCCTGTCTAAGGACCAGAGGGGTCTGTAGGCACTAAAACTTAACTATCCCAAAATGCAAAGAAGCAAAGGAGGAAATCAGTGGCCTGCATATCACTGCGGGCCAGTAAGGAGTGTGGATGTGCAGAAGACTAACAGATAAGGTCCGGGACCCAGGCTCACTGCGATCTGCCCACCAGCTTTCCTGAGGCAAGACTCAGCCCCCTCGGCAAGACTCAGCCAGCCAAAAATATAGCTATTTCTCAATAGGACCCAAAGGTTCCATGTTGTCAATAAAGACCAGTGCAGCCACTTGCATCAGGCTGGGTGCTGGCGAATGAGAGCTGTTCTCCAAAAAGAAACCAAAAACCAACCAACCCACAAAACCTAGCTTTTATGTTCTTCTGTGTGCTTCTCCTCACCCAGAGTGGTGTTCAAGCCATCTTAAGCCATTCTCTTACTTAGCGGCAGGGCCCCACACTCAGAGCACGACTGTCATGCGTTCTCTGAAGAGTCAGTCTGACCACAGAAGGAGAGCTGCAGCCACCGGGCCCAGGGAATGAGGAAAGGCCACTTGGCCACAACCAGCAAAGTACTACACATCACCCACGCTGCTGGCAAACCAGGGGGGCTCTGTCTCTCACTTCCCCCCACCACCACTTTAACTACTCAGAACAAGGCTCTCACTTCTCACCTGGAGCCCCCATCTCCCAGGCTCTCTGCAAGTCTTCCACCAGGGCCACGGCCTCCTCCCCACTCCCTGGATGCTTCTGTCTAACCCAGATCTGGATCTCTTGAGGAAGGACAGTCAGGAACTGCTCCAGCACTAGCAGCTCCAAGATCTGCTCTTTGGTACATCTGTCTGGTCTCAGCCACTGATGACAGAGCTTCCGGAGTTGGATAAGGGCCTCCCGGGGTCCTGACGCTTCTTGATAGCAGAAATGCCAAAAACACTGGCAGGAGGTCTCTGGTCCAGGGTCACTCCTTTGGGACATTTCCTGCTCCCAGTGGGAATCATCTTCCAGCTTCACTATTCAAAGCTCTCCTTGCACTTGAGGAATCTGGATTTGTTGGTCCACAGCTACAGCCATCGTTCAGCTCAGGAAAGAACCTTGCAACTGGGCTCTGAAGTTCAAACCTCTTCCTTTACCTCTTTGGGGAGCTGCCGTCAGATAGGTGTCACTAAGTAGAACCTGACATTCTAGAGCCACAGATAATACATTACAGAGTGAATGCTAGTGACCATCACTCACAAGTGTCAGCCCAGCAGGGCTGAGGTGAAGAAAAGAGCCTTCCTGTTCTCCCCTTCCCATGTCCTGGTGCCCGTGGAGTCTGGCCCTCTGTCACTGGGGAAGCAGCTCCAGAAGTTTAAGAGGAGGGTCAAGAGCTGGTGACCTGGCTGGAAAGAAGTGGGGCTTGAAGCTGTGTTTGCACAGCAATTTACTCGAGGCCGAGAAAATGTCAGTCATCCATACTGACGAATGAGGATGGACTGGAGAAGACAATGGGGACAATAAGCCGCCCACCCTCCCAAGCCACTGGTCTTCAGAACTAGAGTGTTCCAGCGTCAGTGTGGCAGAAGAGGAGAGAGCGCACAAGGTAGCAGCACCTTGGAGAGCAGCACCCGGGTGGAGCTGGCTCTAAGCTTTCACGGCTTCAAAAGGTCCAACCTCTAAACTGCCCTCACCTCTGGCCGGGTTCTCGGCTTTGGGCACCCCACTCGGATTCCTAAGCCCTGGAATGACTCTCTCCCAAACAGGGAGATTCACCCTGGTTAAGGTTGCAAGCTCTAAGAGCAGGGGTACTAAAAACAGACCCATACGGGATGTCAGAGCAGGCAGGAAAGTTAAGAAATACTGGGACTTCAACTCCCTCAAAGCTGGGCAGTCGTGGCTCAGAGACCCCCCCAGGGACTTGCCCAAGGTCACGTGGCTGGTGTGTGGGGCTCAGCCCCTTGACCGTGGACTAGGGGACTGGCCCGCAGAGTGGGACTTACACTGGAAGGCTACTCTGCTCCGCGGGAGACCTTCTCTGGAAGCCTTATGGGGTAAACGCGGGCCTTGGGGGCGGGGTCGCCTCGGCGGTTACAAGGCCAAGGTCGTCCCCGCCGAGTCCGGTGGGCGGCGGGAGGGATGGCGCCGCCAGCACGAGGGCCGCATCTCGCCCGGGACCCTGGGTGTAAGTTCGGCCACGCCCACCCGGCGAGGGCGGCCAGGGCCCTAGGCAACAGCGGCGCGCGCCCGCTGAGGCCCTGCGACTCCGGGAGGTCGGGGCCCGCGGCCCCTTCTCAGCAGCCGCGCAACGTCCCCTAACGACCCTCGAACCCCCAGCCCGAACCCGGTGTCCGGGGATCCGTACGTCCGCTAAGCACCGGAAGCGGAAACGCGATCCCCAGAAGGACTCCGTTTTGCCAGACTCCATTTCCCATAGGCCTCCGGCCTTGCCCGCAGATTGACAGCAGCAGTAGCCAATAAAATGTGGGGGTGGCCTAGGCGTCTCTGCGTGTCAGACGAATCATTGATGAGGGGTGGGACTTGCACGCTGGAGCTGGGAGTTGAGCCCCAACTAAAACACAGCCAGCGGAGGGTGTGTGGCTCTACCCTCGCCCCCACTGCCTGGGGCCCTGAGAGAGGGAGAGCCTTTGGGGACAGTCTGCGAGTGCGCACCGGAGACTCCAATTCGGATTTTTCGCCACTTAAGAAAGTACTTTCCCCGCATGGTTGTCCACTATGGTAATGCTTTGCCACCACCACACCTCTCTCTCTCTCTCTCTCTCTCTCTCTCTCTCTCTCTCTCTCTCTCTCTCTCTCTCACACACACACACACACACACACACACACACACGACCACCACCACCACACATCCACCACATACCCTCATTTCCCGCGTGCACAGTCCTAGGAGACTTAATAAGGTGAATACTTTCGACAAGATGAATACTATTGACGCTTGTTCATTCAACAGTCAGTCGCGGAACATCAACTTTGGCCCAAGCCAAACACTCCCTCTTCCTAAGGAATGCAGGCCAGCCGAGGATGAATTTTTATTTTTATTTTATTTTATTTTTTTTGTTTATTTTTAGTACCTCTAGGCCCCAGGCGGGGCTCTAATTCATGACTGGAGATCAAAAGTGGCGTGCTCCAACGACGAGCCAGCCGGGCGTCTCTGTGGGACGCATTTTTAAAATGCTGCCCTGAACAACCCACACAGTGTGGTAAGTGCTAAAAGGTGCCTTCGAAGTAGTGCCTGGAAAGAATTACTGGAGAGCAACTGGGAGAGCCCAAGAGGGAAGAAGGGCGGCCTCAGGGAAAGGGGGCAGGAAATGCCATTTTATTGAGCACCTACATCGCGTATTTTCTCTGGTTGGGATCTGACAACGAATCCTGCAGAGCAGGCCACTCTCTGTTTAACAGATGAAAGGTCCAAAATTCAACTGAAGGTGGGTGAGCTGTGAATCTTCCCACAGAAGAGGCAGCCTTGGGGCCCGGGGTAGGGGGGAGGCAAGGGAAGGACAGGGTGACAAGAGGGACTTACCAGAAAGCCGTGAGTCCCGCTGTGAGTCTGGGCCAGGAGGAGGCTTTGGGTTCCTACCATCAAGTCACAGAGAAGCTTTGCTTTTACACATTTTCTTTAGTCAGTTGATGCTCAGGTCATGATCTCACGGTTTGTGGGTTCGAGCCCCGCGTCGGACTCTGTGCAGACAGCTAGCTCAGAGCTTGGAGCCAGTTTCAGATTCTATATCTCCCACTCTCTCTGACCCTCCCCTGTTCACCCTGTCTCTCTCTCTGTCCCAGAAATAAAAAATATTTAAAAATTAAACAAAAAAAAGATCTCCCTTGAAAAGAGGTTCTGCTGTTAAAAAAAAAGAAAGAGAGAAAGAAGGAAGGAAAGAAAGAGGAAAGAAAATTGAAAATTACTAATCCACGTCCCTGCCCTATTACCTTAATTCAGGGAGCTTCTGATCAAGCGGAACTTTCACTGGAAGCAAAATCAAGCAGGGAGAGGGTAGCCGCAAACACAAGTTATATCCACCATCAGCACCACATCCAGTACTTGTAGGGAGAAGACATGCATACATGTCCTCAAGCTGTGGGCCACACCCCTCAGAAAATGGGACTAAAGGACCCCAAAAAGTCTACACACATGAGATACTTTCCCACTTGTGGCATCCTGGTCCCTCAGAGGACAGTTGTTCTCAGAAACGTAGACAGGTCCATTTTTTGGTGAAAGCAGGCCGCATCTAGGTCAGAGTTATCAATATTTCCACGGAGAATAGGATTTCAGTGTTTTCTGCCATACAGAGTGACTGCCCTCCTCCCAGCAGGCTTCTGGAGTGGGGACAGCCAGCTCTGCCATCAGTTTTGCAGATGTGGAAAATGAGGCCTCTGGAGGTGATTTGTCCACATCGCACTGCTATTTAGTGGCACGGGTGTGTCTAGAACCAGGTCGGACAGATCTCTTTTTTTTTTTGAGTTTATTTATTTTGAGAGAGAGAGCATGCTTTGGGGGGAAGGTCAGAGAGAGGGGGAGAGAGCAAGAACCCCAAGCAGGCTCCACACTGTCAGCGCAGAACCAGAAGCAGGGCCTGATCCTGAAAAACCAAGAGATCATGACCTGAACCAAAATCAAGAGTCTGTCTTTCAACCGACTGAGCCACCCAAACGCCTGACAGATCTCTTTGGCTCACAACCCGCCGTCCAGTAAATCACAGATGTCGGGACAGGAGTGGGAGGGTGACACACAGGAGCCACTGAAGGGCGGCGCCGTTTGGGACAGCTGGGAGAGGCAAATGTCTGGACGTCACTTTCAGCAAGAGTCTGGTTTCTAGATCGTTGACATATGTAGAAAAACATCGCCCAGAGGTGCGTATAAGCAGTGCGTAAGGAGACAAGGATTTCCAGATGAAGGAGATAAAAGCTTATCCTCCAGGAATTCCACGGATGACAGCCACATGTGATGCGTGGAGACTAGTGTTCTCTGGGCCCCTGGATCATCCGTTTGACTCCAATTTAACCAGTGATGCTAACTTATCTGCATTACTGGACAGGGGGAGCCTGTCCCACAGGGAAACCAGGAAGACTTAATAAGGCCATCTTGGGCACTGAGCAGACAGCACGGGGAGACACGGAAAACAAGTGGCATTTGAAGCACAGCATCTGTCCCCGGAGGGGGTTCATGGCTGGTAACTGTCTGTCCCTCACATGACTGCTTCCTTTCATTCCCTTCTGCTCAAGCACTCTCTGATCACAAAGCCACCATTTCCATCACTCAAGACTGGGGACAAAGGATGCTCTCAAGGTGGCTTGTGATAGGAGATGCCCCGCTATAAATGAATAATTGGAGTTCCAGATTCTATTGGTCTCTTGGAAACCGAATTAGCAGGAGCCTGCCACCCAGGATCCGGTCATCTCTGGGTATACCAGGGAAGTCCAGTCCCTACACCGGAAAGGCGGGGGACCAGAACTCTGGTGAATTGGCCAAGATGTGCCCCCGCTAAGGCCTCCTGGCAGGCCTGCCTGCCCTCAAATGCCAACAGTGTACAGAGGCGCGGAGAGGCTGTGCCTGCCGGCGCCTGGGAGCTCGAGGGGCCTGGTGATGTTTCCTTGGAGCCAGACTCCCTGCCCCACAGCGGTTCCACAGCTGGCTTGGGCCTGCAAAGGGATGGAAAGTTCTCTGAGTTGGGACACTGGGAAGAGTCAGCAGGAGGGGTAACCAGGACCAAGAAGGCCCTAGAGCCACAGCCCCTGCTGACACCAGAGGTGTGAGCTCAGTTGCACCGATAACTGGGTGGGAAGCCAAAGGCAGTTCGCCACCAGCCCTTACTCCCCACCAGGCTAGGAAGTCCTCTGTCTCGAAATCTGACCGTTGTCCATGCAATTCTACTTCCACTTCCTCTGCGACCTGAAACTATTTTATCAAATCAAGCAGGTAGAAAAAGGAAGGATCCTAATAATCTGTCCAGAAATTTGAAATAACTTAACAGAGCCAGGCAACAGAGGAGGTTAAAATAGCCGTGCATTTGAAAAAAACTCCAGGGCTGTCTGGGAGGGAATGTGAGTGCAAGCCCAGCACACTGGGTCCCTGCTGAGCTCCCTGTGAGAAGCCAGGACTCCAAAGTCAGGGATAAAGGGCTGGGAAGAACCACCGCCAGTCACAGGGTGCCGTGCAAGGCAAGGGAAGTGGGTCTTCTTGACACCAGCTATGGGGAAGCTAGTGGCCAGTGTGGTTTGTATTTCAGTGTTTGGTTCTTTTCTCCATCTTGTTCCATAGGTACTTCTCGGGGCTTTAACAACACAGTGAACTAAAGCAGCAGGTGCTGGGCAGGTTATGCACCAAAGCTCCCCTCTGAGCCTCCACTTCCCCAGCCCTGATGAGGGGATACGGACCTGCCTCACAGGGTTGTCCAGATGAAGTGAGGCGTATGTGTAGGGCTTAGCACAGAGCCGTGCACGGTAGCTGCTGCGTGAGCTGTTACCATAGGCCATTGTGGCTTATCATGAACTATAAAAATGCAACCCAAAGGGAAGAGAAAAATCCATGAAAAAAAGAAGTCTCATTATGACTTCCCTCTTATTGTAAAATCTCTGATAAGAGCGGGGGAGTGTGGTTAGTGGCCCAAGTGTCTAGAGCCAGGCCTGTCCAGCCCCCAGCACTCCCTCTACTACGCCAAGCTTGAGAACAAGGACAGGGTGACAGAGTACTGCCTGGGCGCGGACCTGAGAGGGCTTCTGGGATGTGGCCGAGCTGTTTCTTGATCTCAAGCGATTTCTTGATTCATGGGTGTGTTGAGTTTGTAAAGGTTCCTTGAGCCTATGCTTCTGTGCACTTATCTGTGTGTTGTATTTTAAAGTATTTCTATTAAAACAAGGGGAGGGGGGAGGCCTCAGGATATAGTCATGTGAATGCACAAGGATCAAAAGGTAAGAGTAAGATAAGATACAGTCTTCACATCCCATTGCTTGTCCAGACAGAAGAGAAACAGACTGTGTACGAGACTTGGCTACTGGGAAGAACATGCCTGGTTTTCCGTTGGCTTCTGACATCTGTGACATTTCAAAAATATGAGTTGTTTCATTAGGATACTGGTTAGTTTTTTTGTTTTTTATTTTTAGAGTATTTATTTTTATTTTAAAATTTTTAAATTTTAAATAGTTTATTGTCAAGTTGGTTTCCATATAACACCCAGTGCTCATCCCAAGTGCCCTCCTCCATGCCCATCACCTCCCTCCCCCTCCCCCCACCTTATCTGCCTTCAGTTTGTTCTTGGCATTCAAGAGTCTCTCATGGTTTGCCTCCCTCCCTCTTCTCCACTATTTTTCCCCTTCTTCTCCCCCATGGTGCTCCATTAAGTCCCTCCTAATCCTCCTATACGTGCAAACATATGGTATTTGTCCTTCTCTGCCTGACTTATTTCGCTCAGCATAACACCCTCAAGTTCCATCCATGCTGTTACACATGGCCAGATTTCATTCTTTCTCATTGCCATGTAGTATTCCATCNCAGCATAACACCCTCAAGTTCCATCCATGCTGTTACACATGGCCAGATTTCATTCTTTCTCATTGCCATGTAGTATTCCATCGTATAGATAAACCACATCTTCTTGATCCATTCATCAGTTGATGGACACTTAGGCTCTTTCCATGTTTCGACTGTTGTTGAGAGTGTTGCAATGAACATTGGGGTACATGTGCCCCTATGCATCAGCACTCTTTATTTTTATTTTTTAAATATTTACTTGTTGCTTTATTTTTAGAGAGCATGTGCTCATGAGTACAAGTAGGGGAGGAACAGAGAGAGGGGGAGAGAGAATCTTAAGCGGACTCCACAGTTCGTGTAGAGCCTGATGGAGGGCTTGATCTCATGACCATGAAATCATGATCTGAGCTGAAGTCAAGAGTTGGACACTCAACCAACGGAGCCACCCAGGCACCCCAAGATTTTACTTTAAAAAAATTTTTTTAATGTTTATTTTTGAGAGAGAGAGAGAGAGAGCAAGCAGAGAATGAGCAGAGAGAGAGGGAGACACAATCTGAAGCAGGCTCCAGGCTCCGAGCTGTCAGCACAGAGCCTGACTTGGGGCTTGAACCCACGAAACACGAGATCATGACCTGAGCCCAAGTCGGACGGTTAACTGACTGAGCTACCCAGGTGCCCCAAGGTTTTTTCTTTTTTTTTTTTAAGTAATCTCTACACCCAGTGTGGGGCTCAAACTTAACAACTCTGAGATCAAGGGTGGCACGCTCCACTGACTGAGGCAGCCAAGCGACCTGGTTAGTTGGTTTTTATAAATGTCTTTGGCTGTGACTTCATTCACCCTACCAGCCACTCGTAGCTTAGGCGAGAGGCACTGAGGTTAAAAGCTCACTCATCATCTTTCCAGAGGGCGGGGTGGGGGCCTGAATCCGTGGTTCAGGTCAGAGTTGTGGACCCGCCTGCCTCTTGCATTTCTGTGTATCTCCGTGAAGGGAACTCAGTCAGCAAAAATTAACTGGATTCCTACCACACACCGCGTCCTGAGCTGAGTGCCAGCGATCAGTACGGGTGTGGTCATAACAGACAAGGCGGAGGGGCAGAATCCTGCCTTAGCCTCTGAGGTTGGACAGTGCTCGGGTGGCAGGATGCAGGGAGACCTCGTGAAGGAGACGGTGCCGGGGCTGAGTTTTCAGAGATGTGCGGGTGAGCCCTCGGGAGGCCACGCGTTCCAGGACAGGGGCCAGCATGAGGACAAGGCAGGCCCTGGGGAGCACATTCAGGGGGAGCGGCCAGGGGGCAGGGATGGCCATGGTATAGAGGTCCCACAGAGGCCCCATCGGGCTTCATCTGTGCTCAGGGAACACGGCCTTTCTGCAGGATGGGGAGGGTTGGAACTGGGTAGTGCAGGGCTCACACTCCTGCTGGCTGCAGTCTGGAGGCTGGAGGAGGCAGGGGGGGAGTGTGAGGGCTGCTGCAGGTGTAAGGGTGTGGCCTATGCCCTGGGGGTGGCATGAGGTGGGCGCTGGCAGATGTTAAGTAGGGGGGCCAGAGCTTGCAGGTCCTGAATGGCTCTGGGGGAGGCAAGGGAGGGAGTCTCGGATGACTCCTGGGCTTGGGGTTGAGTGAGGCCGGGCGAAGGCAGTGCTACCCACAGAGCAAACCAAGGGAGGCCGGCAGGGAGGGGACTCCCGGATACGCTGAGTCTGAGGCCCTAGGAGACTGGAAAGCAGGGGGGAAGTGGCCGAGGGGGCGAGGCCCCGACCCCGGAGGGAAGCGTCCGCTAGTGCAGGAGGAGATGGGTTACGACTACCCTGAAAGTAGGTCTCTCGGCTGAGCCTGGAGGAAGTGAGGGGCGCCGTGCAGAAGTTCACTGCTCCGGGGCTGGGACGCTGAGGGAGGCCGGACAGGTTCGGGGTTCTCAGGGGAGGTGAGCCAAGCCTGGCAGTTGGCCGGGTCTGAGAACCGCCCAAGGGTGCAAGGCGGCCACTGTGGGCCCAGGAGAGGAAAGTGAGCAAGTCACGGAGAAGACCTGCTGAGACACGGGGGCCTCGCCAAGGGTGAAGCAGTTGCTTTTTTTCTTTCTTTTCACCGTTTATTATAAATGTATGAATTGTCCCAAGGCTGTACCCATGAACTTAGAAACAAACCGATGATGAAACCTCAGTCCCCAAATGCATGTACATTTAGGGTAAATGGCCTTGGTTATAGACATGCAGGTGTAACTGAATCACAAGCAAAGACGTGGCCCAAGTAGATCTGCCCAAGGGGACTGGGGCTTCCTGAGCTCTTCTCAGGGAGAGGACCGTGCTGTGCCTCCCACGGAGCCGCACGGAGGTCAGCGCGCGCTGAGCCCTCGCTGCCTCCACAGACGCCCTCCAGGGGCAGGAAGGGCAGGAAGCGCCGGCCTCAACCTTTCTAGGACCACGGTCTGTCATTTCCCAGCCTGATCTTCTGTCCCTTTTTTCTAAGGTATTTTGTGTCCCTGCCAGGTAGAGAGGAGTAAAGAAAAGAAAGTTTTGCAAAGCTTAATATCACCTCTTTTCTTCAGCTGAGACTTAGAGGAAGAGAGAGCTAGTATCTTCTCCAGCCCAAATCCCAGAACTTAGTATCAGCTGGGAAAGCACCCTATCCATCCAGACAGCTGGGATTATTCCTCCTACAAAACTTCATGGAGTTTTCCTAGTACCTAGTACCAAGTACCCAGCACCGTGATGGTACTGAAGTCCTTAATGTTTGCCAAATAAGTGAATGATGAGGATTTCACAGCCTACGTGTCTTGGTTGAACTACCATCACTGCCTGGCTGCGAAACGTCCTTGTGTCTAATCTAGTTGATACTGGATAGAGATGATTCCCAACGGCCTCCTTAGAAGGCCACTGGCTCCTTAGCCAAAGCTGCCACTCCAAATCTTGGTTGACAGACTGGACGCAGAGTTGGCAAAGGGCAGGGGGCAGGTGTGTGCGCTGGTCAAGCACACAGATCTCAGTTCACCCAAAGGTGTGTTCTTTGAGTCCACTGACTTTACTCCCTGAAGGTCTTGGGCCACTTTTGGCCTAGGGCAGGAGGTGAGTTGGGGGGAAGTGAGGTGTGTGGGTTTGCTAATAGTCAAGTCCACATTAGAAGGCAGACACAGGAAAAGAATAACACTCTATTTTATTCGGCAATATCAAGCATCCATTCTCTAAGAACCAAGGCCTGTTGTGAGCCTAGGCTCCATGCGCTGGGGGAGGTGGTTTCCTATTTCCCAGAAACGCCTTATCTGCTATCCTCTTCCTTAAAGCAAACCCCTTGACCTGCTCTCATCCCCTGGTCTCTACGGCTTCAAGGCTCAAGGACCCAACCACAAAGCCCTGGTAGCATCAGCAGATCAAGGATGACACCTGTTAGGACAGCCCCTGATTCAAGCCCACACCTCTCTGGGGGACAGACAGTGTGTCCTCAAAATCAACGCTTCCTTAAAAATATGAAAGTGTACAAAAGCTACGACAGAGCTCTATCTCTGCACATGTACAACATAAAAAACAGAAGAACAGAGGAGTGGCCGTTGCAGAAAGATGATCTGTGGGGGTGAAGACACAGGCCCCCTGAAGAGGGCAGGGCTGTTCCACCCTCCAGGAGACAGAAACCACCGTCCGCCACCGGGAGGCGGCTGGGGGACCCCGACTGCACTTCCCAAACAAAAAAAAAAAAAAACAAAACAAAAAGAACCGCCACAAAATCCACTGCTTCCCACAGGACTGTGAGCAGAGACACAGGCAAACGTGTAGGTCTCCGTTGAGGCCCTTCCTGGCAGGCGCTGTTCAGCTCTTAACCAACCGAAAGGCTGCTGGGCCACTGGCGCCAACCCCACAGCCTCGGCCGAGGTGTTCCTGACGCTTAGAAACGGCCTTTGCCTTCATGTGGGTGGCCCGGGGCTGGACAAGCCCATCCACGCTGACCTGAAACCAAAGCCCGGGACGCATCGCCAGGCAGAGCGGGTTGGGGCGGCGCGGCCCGGCGAGGACACCCCAGCCCAGCGAGGTGGCGGGGCACCACCAGCGCCTGCGGATTGCAAGTGTCTCCGAGGACTCGGCATGGGGGGGGGGGGGGGGGGGGGGGGGGGGGCGCGCTCGTTCCTCCGTTCCACGTGAGAGACCCCCCCCCACTCTCCCCCGTTCTACCAGAGGGGAGCCCGAGGCACGGAGCGCCGGCAGACAGGAAGCCAGTCGCGCCGCGGAATGAAACCATCCCTCCGTCCCTGTGCTCTGTGCCGGGGCTTCGGCCGCGACCACCGGGGCCGCCCCTCAGCCCAGCTTGTCCTTGACGTGAGTCCTCTGGTGGGTGATGAAGTTGGAGCTGTTGCTGAAGCCCTTGCCGCACTCGGGGCACTTGTAGGGCCTCTCGCCGGTGTGGATGCGCTGGTGGATGATGAGCACCGAGTTCCAGCTGAAGCCCTTGCCGCACTCGGGGCAGCGGTACGGCTTGTCGCCGCGGTGCGCGCGCTGGTGCATGACCAGGATGGAGCCGCGGCTGAAGCGCTTGCCGCACAGGACGCACTGGAAGGGCCGCTCGCCCGTGTGCGTCCGCCGGTGCGCCGCCAGCTGCGAGCGCTGCCCGAAGGCCTTGCCGCAGTCGCCGCAGCGGTGCGGCCTCTCGCCCGTGTGGATGCGCTGGTGCTTGACGAGGTTGGAGCTCCAGCTGAAGCTCTCGCCGCACGTCCGGCACTCGTAGGGCTTCTCGCCCGTGTGCGTGCCCTGGTGCGCGATGAGGCTGGAGCTCTGGCTGAAGCTCTTGCCGCACTCGCCGCACTTGTACGGCTTCTCCAGCAGGTGCGTGCGGCGGTGCGTGGCCAGGTTGGAGCTGCGGCTGAAGCTCTTGCCGCACTCGGCGCACTGGTACGGCTTCTCGCCCGTGTGCGTGCGCCGGTGCGTGATGAGCGCCGAGCTCTGGCTGAAGCTCTGGCCGCACTCGGCGCACTTGTAGGGCTTCTCGCCCGTGTGGATGCGCTGGTGGCGGATGAGGTTGGAGTTGTAGCTGAAGCTCTCGCCGCACTCCTTGCACGCATACGGCTTCTCGCCCGTGTGGATGCCCTGGTGCGTGTTGAGGCTCGAGCGGTTGCCGAAGCTCTTGCCGCACTCGGGGCACGCGTACGGCTTCTCGCCCGTGTGCGTGCGCTGGTGCGCGATGAGGTTGGGGCTGCGGCTGAAGCTCTTGCCGCACTCGGCGCACTGGAAGGGCTTCTCGCCCGTGTGGATGCGCTGGTGCGTGATGAGGTTGGCGCTGCGGCTGAAGCTCTTGCCGCAGTCCCGGCATTTGTACGGCTTCTCGCCCGTGTGCGTGGTCTGGTGTCTGCTGAAGTTGGAGCCGTCGCTGAAGCTCTTCCCGCACTCGCCGCACTTGTAGTGCTTCTCGCCCGTGTGCGTGCGCTCGTGCGTGATCAGGTGGGACTTGCGGCTGAAGGTCTTGCCGCACTGCGGACACTCGTACGGCTTCTCACCCAGGTAGGTGCCCTGCAGGCCTATGAGCTGCCCCGGCCCCCCGCCCGGGGCCGGCACCCGCCCGCGGGCCTCGGCCGGGGCCCCTCCGCGCCCCCAGTCCCTCTCCGAGTCACTTTCCCAGTCCGACTGCCGAGCGCCCTCCCCGTCGGGCGTCTCCGAGAACAGCTCGCGGGCCTCCACGTCCTCGAAAAGATCTTGAGTGGAGTTCTCCCCGTTCTCGCTCTGGATCTCAAAATCTGAAACGAGAGTGAATTTTTTTTTTTTTTTTTTTTAACAGACTAAACGTTGTGTTTAAATAGGCTCCGTGCTCGGGGCGCCTGAGTGGCTCAGTGGATCAGGTGTCCAACTTGGGCTCAGGACACGGTCTCCCAGTCCACGAGTTTGAGCCCCACGTGCGGCTCTGTGCTGACAGATCGGAGCCTGGAGCCTGCTTCGGATTCTGTCTCTCCCTCTTTCTCTGCTCCTCCCCTGCTCATATGCGCTCTCTCAAAAAAAAAATAAACATTAAAAAAATAAACATAAGAAAATATAGTAGGCTCCATGCCCAGTGTGGAGCTCGAACTCACAACCCTGAGATCAGGAGTCACACACTCTACTGACTAAGGCAGCCAGGCCCTCCTAAAGATTAAACTAATGAAAAGAAAGAGGCCAAGGAATACTCAAAACTTTTAAAACCCAGGTTGATTTATGGGGCGCCTGGGTGACTCAATCCCTTAGGCATCTGACTTCAGCTCAGGTCATGATCTCACGGTTTGTGGGTCCCAGCCCCTCCTCGTGCTGACAGCTTGGAGCCTGGAGGCTGCTTCAGATTGTGTCTCCTTTTTCTGACCCTCCCCTTCTCGTGCACTCTCTCTCTCTGTCTCACAAATATAAATGTTTAAAAAAAAAAAAAGAAAAGAAAAGACAAAACCAGGTTGATTTCCTTCTACGTGATACCCATGTGGTAATCATCCAGAATTTCTAAGTCTTAAAGACTTGGGTCCCATGTCTGTACCTGTTTCTCCACTGGGAAATGAAGTCCGGTGGGGATGTGAAAATCCTAAACAAGGGAAAGTAACAGAGAATGCAGTGACCGCCAAAACTCACCAAAGTGACGTATGGCTAACAGGTGCTCAATTAAATTTGGTAAATGAATGAATAAGTTTTTCATTGGTACTGGAGAAACTTCCCTAAAAGTCAATCTCCTTCCCTAAAAGTCAATCTCCTTCCAGGGGAGCCTGGGTGGCTCAGTCACTTAAGCATCAGACTCTTGGTTTTGGGTCAGGTCATGATCTCATGGTTTCTTGAGTTTGTGCCCCGAATCAGGATATTCTCTGACCCCCTCTCTATCTCTGTCCTTCCCCTACTCATGCTGTCTCTATCTCTATCTCAAAAGTAAATTTAAAAGTTTTTAAAAAAGGAACTTACATAATAATCTCATGCATTACAGTATGTCTGGTGTTTATAATCTTATTAGGTTATAAGTAAGACACAGACAAGAAAACAGGGCATCTGCAAAAAGGACTTCTAGGCGTCTACACTGATGACGAAACAAGTGGGCAGTTAAAAGAGCCCTAAGATTTCTCTGCACTAGAATGGACCTCTCATCGGTAATATAAAACATCTACCTTCCAGGAACTTGTCAAACTCTACTGCCCAATACCTCTCAAACATTTGAGTGAAAGAAATCATGAAGGAGGATCGCTGAAAAGACATGCGTTCCCTTCCTTAATTGAGAGGCTCTGAAGTCTATCCCAGGATCAGACCAGGGCAGCGGAGAGCCATTAGCCCGGATCTCATTGTTCTGATCTCCGCAGAACTGAACTGTGTGTTGACTTAATGGCTCTGGCCAACAGTCACGGACAGTCTGAGAAGTGTCATTAGAAATTAACGGCTGTCGGGAACATGAACACTGCCAGGAAGCTGTTGGCAACACTGTTTATACCACACAGTGTCCTCTTGATGAGTGAGAAGGAAATTTCCCTGTAACTGAAATTCCCAGAAGAACCACTCTTCTGATCAATGCATTTGTGTTTGCCTCACACCTCTGGTTGTGGCTCCCGTCTCTGCCGTGCCTGCTTGTACAGCCCGCAACCTGTGTTCTTTCATTTCGTTGTCCCCTTGCATTATTTTCTTTTTTGCTCTCATTTCCTTGTGCCTCTTTCTTTCTTTTCTTTCTCTCTCTCTCTCTCTCTCTCTCTCTCTCTCTCCTTCTCTCTCCCTTCCTTATTTTCTCTTCTCTTCTCTCTCTCTTTCTTTTCTTTCTTTTTCTTTCCTTCTTTCCCCCCTTTCTTTCTCTCTCTTTTTGGTTAATCTCCATAACGTTCCAATTTTAGTATATGTGCTACCGAAGTGAGCACCCTTGTGCTGTTTCCATTTAATTCTTTTCTGGAATTCTGTAGGGTACAGAAACAAATCAGCGATTTATAGATAAGGATGACAGCCTGATTATTCCTAACACCTAACATGAGAGCTCCAGAAAAAGCAGATCCATCCAGAGCAGGGAAGATCATTAGTCAAATAATTATCCAAAGTCCTAGTGATTGAAGCTAAGAAATTGTTTATTTAAAGGTTAGATGCTTGATTCTGCGGCTATGAGTTTCTGTAAGGTGAGGCAGATTTCCGTATGTGCACGTGGTCAACTGACACGCATCCCTCGGGGAGAACCGGGCTCCAGCTGTGCCATCGGTCAGTACTGGTTGAGATTGTATTTAAACTTACAAGTAGACATAAGGGTACATTTCATGCTCACTAACACACACTCGCCGGTACTGTGTGGACCCCAGGGGACCAGTGCAGGCTCGAGGGCCACCATGCATGTTCCCACGTGGCCCAGACCGGGAGCTCTGCACATCCTCGGCTTCCCGCCATGGTTTCCCAAGTCTCCAGCACAGAGGCCTGCCGTCATCGCTCTTCAACGGGCAGACGCCCTGTTTTACTTTCAGCAAGCCAGCTCTCCCCAAAACATGTTTTTAAAACAATTTTAGCAGCTGTTCCCTGCTGACCAGGGGCACTAGCTAATAAGGCTTCCCACTGCCTTAAGATCAGAAGGACTGGTTGGTGTGTTCTGGAATGAGCTCAGAAGCAACAGGGAAAATAAACAGAACTCAAACTCCATTTGCAGTGAGATTAGGGAGAAGACTAATTTGCAGACACCAAAATACATATAAGGGCTTCCAAAAACAGCCGAGACGGGGCAGAGGCTCATGAGGCAGGAAGTGAAGAGAATAAGCATGGAAAGCAGGGTGGGGGGTTGGGGGACGCTGAGGGCAGCTGATCTCAGTAAGCTCAGAAAATCACCTCCTCCAGGTAAGGGACTCACCCTCAAGAGCAACAGTGCGTGTGGGAACTGGGGCAGGCGGGTGGCTTCAGGAGGTCAGGCCACCGAGGACCACCCGGAGGAGCCGTGCTCGCAGGAAGTGCTCGGTTTCTGTGAACAGAGAAGGAGACAGCCTCTGACCCCCCACACATTAATCATGGGACTCTTTCCTGAGAAAGCGACCTATGTCACACGTTAAAAAACTATTAAAGCAACTGCCTGTAGGAAGGATGGCTGCGAAGTAAACAGTTGAGAAGAGACTGTGAGACGAGAGGAACAGACGGAGCGGCGGCCGCAGGACTCGGGGAAGCACAGGGATTCGGAGGCCCAAGGACAAAACGGGGACACGATGGGAAAGAGGCCCCCAGGAAAGCTTGGGGAGGCGGAGGGGGACCGAAATGAGAAAAGCAGTAAAAAGAAGGGGACAGAGAGGACAAGGGGATTAAAGAGAAGGACAGAAACAGACAAAAGGAGAATCCAAATGCACAGAACTGGCGTTGCCGTGAAAAGGGAACTAAATCAAAGGAACAGAACAAACGCTCAAAGTGTAACCAATGAAGCTCTAAGGACCCTTGAAAGGTGCTCTGTGTCAAGAAACCCAGCCCAGGATGGTGAGCGACGAGACGGTGGACAACAGGGCAAAGGGCTCCAGTCACACGCAGGGGAGGAGAACCAGCTAGACTTCTCCACGGGCACGTTCAAGTTCACTGCCCCCGACAGGCAGCGAGAGCCGCGAGGCAGAGCGGGAGAGCAAAGGTGGGCCCGGGCTTTCACGTTCAACAAAACAGCCCTCCGAGTATCAGGCTTGCAGGCAAATGGCGTTGAATCCACACAAAGTCACAGACTATGATTCCTAGGAGCCCTTCTTGAAGACATTACTAGGAGGGGAGCTTCATTCCGCCAAGCGATGAAGGGGACTCTAGAGCCAAAGGCCTGGGGATGAACGCCTGATAAAAAGTCTCAAACTACTGTGGCGATCACAACGGGAAAACAGAATGTCAAGGTTACAGAGTGATGCAGAAAGGATACGCTAGCCAAAATCGGGGCTGAGAGAAGGTAGGTGGGAGACATGGTCACTGACTGCCTTGTCTGGATACCTAGGAATTCAAAGTGTCTCACTTAAAAGTGGCAAATCACGCACTTGAAGTGTGTCTGTATCAGTACAAAAATAGGGGCGCCGGGATGGCTCATCAGTAGGTTAAGCACCCGACTTGGGCTCAGGTCATGATCTTACAGTTCTTGAGTCAGGCTTTGTGCTGACAGCTCAGAGACTAGAGCCTGCTTCAGATTCTGTGTCTCCCTCTCTCTCTGCCTCTCCCCTGCTTGCCCTCTGTCTCTGTCTCTCTCAAAAATAAATAAACATAAAAAAAAAATTTTAAATAAATAAACGTTAAGGAGCACCTGGCTGGCTCAGTCAGTGGGGCGTGTGACTCTTGATCTCGGGGTTGTGAGTTCGACCCCCATGTTGGATATAGAGATTACTAAAAAAAAAAAAAAAAAACTTGAAAAAAAATCTTAAGGTTACTGACTAATATCAGGGATGGGGAGGAGAGGGACTATCTTTGCTGGATGTTAAAACCTATTACAGAATCTCAGGAATGAAAACATAAATTGACAATAAAAGCAACAAAACAACACAGCAACTCTAGAAATAGACTCAAAAGACATGTGAATTCAGAATGTGATTCAGGTGTCACATGAAAAGACAGACGAGCGGAAGGGAAACAAGAATCCGTATAATGACTCTGGGACTTTAACGTATGATAAAGGCAGCCTCTCAGGTCCTTGGAGAAGAGACATGACATTGAGTAAATGAGGCTGGACTGACTGGTTAGGCCAAATGGAAAAATCTGAGTTGGATCCCATACTAGGAAAAATCCCAAAGAGATCAAAGATTTAAATGTAAACAAGACAAAAACAGTATCAAACAATTAGATG